GACGCCCGAAGAAGAAGCCATCAAAACCCATCTAGAAGTGAGGAGGGATGAGGAGCGGGATCAGAGGGCAAGAGGAGTAGGTGCCTAGCCCCCCATCACCCACCACGAGCCCCTTCAATGTGAGGGGGGCAGGTCCGAAACCAGAAAGCCTCTAGCTCATTTCGAAGCTTGGGGAAGGGTCGGATCACGCGGCGGGAGAGCTGGGAGGGGCAGGTCCAGCGCTAGAACAGACCTCCACCTTCCCCAGCTCGAAAAGAGGCCTGGCTCAGGGCTTCCCCCTTCTGCAGCCTGGAGGAGTCAGAGCATGGAAAGGGAGCCAGGTAGGTCATGGCAAAGATTATGAAGCCGGTGGAAAGGAGGAGCAGGCCTCCACCTGGCCTGGGGAGGAGCAGCAAACAGGGGTGGGGGCCAGAGCTCCAATGAAGGGCAGGTGTGGGGCCCGGGAGGCGCCAGCTGGAGTGAAGTCAGCCTGGGCCCTCGCAGAGAAGCCGAATGCAGAGCAGAGCAGCCAGGGTTGGGGGGCGGGGGAGGGTAGCAGTAATGGGATTCACGGCTCACCCAAGGGGGCAGGGTCTCAAGGGGCCAGAGGGCTAGGGAACAGGGCCTGGTCGGAGTGAGCTCGCAGGGGAGGGCGGGGCTTGAGTGGCCAAGGGAGGAGTCAGAGCCTTGAATGGGCAGCGCCAGAGAGGTTGGGAAGTCACCTGTGCGAACAGCGAGGCCTGCTCCCGAGAGTGACCAAAGGGATCAATGTGCCAGGCCACACGGGGGCGCCCATCTTTGCCAAACGTGTTTTCCAGGAAGCGTAGTCCGAGTGTCATCTGGTCTATGATGGCCCCATAGTGCGTGGCTGCCTCGTCATTCATCACCCAGCCACCGTTGGCAAACTCCAGGCGCCCTGTGCCAGGAAAGATGGAGTCTGGGTCGATTGTCAGGGTCAGGAATGGGGTCAGGGGTGGCAATGCAGGGGATAAGACCTGCCTGCAAACCCAGGCCTGGAGGGAGAAGAGGGGTCACTCCCAGAGCAGTGTAGCCAGGTAGGGAACAGAGGGCATCCTGCACGGCAGGCTTCCCTGAGGATCCCCTGGAGGTGGGGCTTTGCAGGATGCATAGGAGTTCTACAGAGAAAAGGAAATTCCAAGGAGTTGGAGCCACAGGCACATACAAGCTGCACATGGCATGATAAAATCTCAGAAGCTGGGGTGGCAGAAGCAGAAGCTGAGCTGGGCTTCCTCTTTTCACTTCCTTGGGGCAGGCTCACCCTGGCGCACCAGGTCCCGCACAGCTTCCTGTGTCGCATTTGTCTGCTGGTGCCACCAACGAGAAAAGAAGGCAATCTCAACGTAGATGAATCGGCGGGTGGGCTCCACCAGCAGGGAAGAGATGACTGAGTCTAGGATGTACTGCACACCTGCGTGCTGGACGTCATTATGGACTGTGGACACAGGGGTCAGGCAGTCAGGGATGAATGAGCCAAGGGGGGGACCTTCTTTGACACAGGCGCCCACTTGGCATTGTCCCCACCCTAATGTCCAGGGCCCAGAAAGGATCTGAAGGGCTCAAAGGGGCCATGGGAGTCCCAGGGGTAAGCCCCCCATGCTCTACTCACGGCCATAAAAGTACTGGTCCACTGTCTTGAGCCAGCCCACATCATCATGTGTGTGGGCTACCAGGTGCACATTGAGCATGTCCGGATTCACCACAGGGCATGTCTGCACAGGGACCCCAAATACACACCGCCTGTCAGTTACCCAAGGTTAAGAAGCAAGCTGGGGTAGGGGTTTGGGGGGGTAGGACACAAAATAAGTCTGGATCTAGAGGTGAGTGGCTCAGAGAAATGGGGCTAGGCCCTTCCAGGGAGGACACACGCAGCGCTGGGCACACAGATACAACTCCCCCTGGAGCAACCCCTCAGGGAAGCTCATTCACACGGCGGGAAAATGGTAAGAGCAGTAGCTGATGTTTATTAAGCATTTGCAAATACCAGGCAGGCACCCTGGGGGCTGAGGGCAATATTATCTTATTTTCATATGAGATCACTGTGAATCAGAGTGGTTAAGTGACTTGCCTCAAAACACGCAGCCAGGAAGCCAGGGAGCCAGACTGGAACTCGGGGCGAGCTGACTCCAGAATCCCAGCTCTCGAGCAACGCTCCCCACCCCCCCATACACATATATGCTCAATCACACAGTTAGGTGCATGCAAAGTTCAGGCAAGCCAACCCACGGAAGCAGGGAGGAAGGAACAGAGAGCCCTAGTCTCAGACACACACATCCGGGCCTTTCGATGTCGGAAAGCATGCCCTCAGACCACACTGTCATATTAACAATCGTTCACTGGGCACCCACAGAACACACCCACCCCCAGCACCGGACCCTCCTCTGGGCTCTACTCAAGCTTGTGTACATTTCCGCCCGCCGGCGGCGCTCACCTCATATCCCGCGGCCCGAGCGCCAGGCGCCGCCAGCAGCAGCAGCAAGAGGAAGGAGAGAGGCGCGAGCGGTGGCTGGAGCGCGCGGGAGCTCGTCCCGGGGCCTGCCGCGCCCCGGCCGCCACCGCCAGCGCGGACCCCCGAAGGCCGCGCGTCGGCGCCCATGGCTCCGCAGCCGCCGCAGCAGCCACGGCCCCCGCGGCCGCCTCCGCGGGGAAGGGGGTTCCCCGGCCAGGCAAAGGCGGGGGAAACGCCCCGCCCCCAGGACCCGACCTGGCCAATGGCTGCCGGCGGGGGCGGAGCTAAAGTGCTGCCCCGGCCTGCGCGTCACTGGACTGAGGCCGTACTTCTAGCTACCCCTGGGGACATTAGGAGTGTAGGGAGGCGTTGGGCGTGTCCCGCCCTAGGGTGCTGGTTTGGCCAGAAGAGCCTTTAGTGTCTCGCTGCCTCTGAGTGGCCTCGGAGTGCCCCTTTGTCCCCGTGGATGCATCGGTCTCAGATTTTCCCATGGGTGTAACTGGGCTAGGAGGTGGGAGTGTGTGCACGGGATCCTAGGGTGTCCCATTGACCTTCACGGCTAGGGTCTTGGAGGGACCTCGCTTGGCTAGGAGCAGGGGTTGAGGGCGGTCCTGTTCCGTCCTACGAGGCTTACTGCTACCGGAACTGCCCTAGGAGTGCTCAGGTTGGGAGGTACCCGACCTAGTTGGAAGAAATACCCGCGGTACTCAGGTGAGGAGTGACCAGAGGGAGAGGCCTCCGTCTTTCACGCTTTTCCCAATCCCCGTCAGTCCATCCAGTTCGCTGATACCACCCAATTTGTCTGATAAGAAAATCAAAGCCCACATTCCTCAGGTCAGCAGAGCCCATCTGCTGATTCGCCAGAGGACAAGGGTCACTTCCCCGTCTGAAGCAGCTGACTTAAGTCACAAGGCTTGTGAAATAAGCCGGTGAATCACCAGAAGGCTCCAGGCTAGAGCCCCACCAAAAGCCCGATTGAGTGGAGGAGCTGGAGCCCACCCCTCAATCAAGCCCACCCCCACCAGGAAGAGCACCCACAACGCACAGAAACGAGAGGTTGCAAAGAACAGCCCGAATGCAAAACTTTATTATTAACTGCTTTCAACGACAACAAAATCGAGTGGATACATCTAGAAACACGGACAGCGTCTCACCCTGCAGCAGGCAGCGGGGGAGGCAGGCAGGAGGGGTAGGCCTAGGGCATTCCCCTCTGCCCAGCAGAAGTGGAATCCCAGGGAAAGGGTCAGCTTCCCTCCAGCCAGCTGCAGGCCCTGTGACTACCTCACTCAGGGAAGCCTAGGACAGCAGCTGAGGGCAGGAGGCTGAGCAGCCAGGAGCCAAGCCTGGGGGAAGGTGGATCGAGTGAGTGGTCCTAGGCTGACATCACCAGGGGGGCGTCATGGGCTGAGGGTTCTGCAGATAGGACATCACCACGGCAGAGATGGACAGCCTGAGACGGGAGAGAGGTGTCAGTCCAGGATGGGTAGGCTGGGGTCCCCCACTCCCGTGGACTCAGGGGTCCTCCTTCTCCTGGCCCCGACTCACATGAAGCTACTCATCATCTGTTTAGTGTCCTCAGAGCTCCGGGAGTTGGCAAAGCTGATGAAGGAGCAGTAGACGGCGACCCAAGCGCACCACTTCAGCTGGGGAAACGTAGGTGGGTGGGCCGGCTCTGGTCAATGAAAGGCACACCAACGAGGCCCCACAGGGGCATTACCCGGCGCTGGTTCCACCCGACTTATTCCACCCGACGCAGCTTGGCCCTCGCCCCCGAGAGTCCCTCCGTTCCTTCCCCCCTAGCCTCCTCCAGGTACCCAGTGTTTGGTCGTGCTCTCTTGGTCTGCGTCTCTGACCCCTCCACATACTCTCAGGCCTAAGAGGACTCGCCTCTGACACACCTCATGATGCTGGGACCGACCTCCCACGTCCCCACCCTGACTTCTCGCTTCCCGCGCCTCTCGGCTTTTTCGGCCCAGCAATGCCGAAGCCCCGCCCACGGCCTGCCCAGGCCCCGCCCCCTCGCCGCGGCCCCGCTTCTTTTCGGAATCCGCTGCCCCCACAGGCTTCGCGGTCAGGCGGAGCTACGCCGCGGGAAACTCGGCGCCGCCCACCTTGAGCATGAGGCCGCACATGCTGAAGATCATGCCGAGCAGGTTCATGTAGTCTGGCGTCGGGTCGTCCAAGGCCGGGTTACACTCGCTCGGCGGGGGCTTGTACCTGCGGCAGGGGCAAGGGTCAGAGGCAACTCAAGTCCCAGCCCCGAGCTAGACAAGCGCTTCCCTGGGCCTCGCCCCACAACCCGAGCCCTGGTCCCATGACGTGGGGTCGGGGAGGGGAGGGGGTCCTCACCTCAGCACTTTGTTCGGCCTCCGTGGGTCCGACATATTGTTAGTGGACATGGCGGGTCGGAGGTGGAGCCCCTTCCGCTGCGGGAGCTGCGGCTTCCGGCGCGGAGACGGAGGGCGGCTTTTAGAGTAGCACCCACAGACTTCGAGCTTCCGTTCCCAGCCGCGGGGGCCAGGGCGCCTCCCGGTCAGGGGACAGACAATTAGAAGAGGCCAAAAATGTTCCTTGAGAACAAGAAGTGGGGAAAGAAGCCTGGAAGCTGGAATCAGGCTTCAGTAGTCCCCACATTATCTCCAAAAGGCCAAAAATTTGAACCGGAAGTGGAAGACAGGAAGTAGGCCGCGGAAGGCAACAAGGTTACATCCAAGCGTGGGTTCCGGGGGATCTGAGTCTTCGGTGCGAACCGACTTAAGGCGGTGGGGCGAGCATCCTGACACAAATGGCTTTCCCTGAGCCCAAACCGCGGGGCCCGGAGCTGCCGCAGAAACGCGTGAAGACGCTGGACTGCGGGCAGGGGGCAGTGCGAGCCGTCCGATTTAATGGTGAGCTCCCTCTTCGTTCCGTGTCTTCCTGCCTCCTGAGCCCCGCAGCCCTATAATCCCTCCCTGGTGTTCCCCAGTGGATGGCAATTACTGTCTGACGTGCGGCAGCGACAAGACCCTGAAGCTGTGGAACCCGCTGCGGGGCACGCTGCTGCGGACGTACACCGGCCACGGATACGAGGTGCTGGACGCGGCCGGGTGAGCTGGGAGCCGGGCCGCGTGCGGGGCCGGGGGCCGAGGTCAGGATCTGAGGTCAACACTGACCTACCTTCCCGCCTGTGCCGTCCAGCTCCTTTGACAACAGCAGTCTCTGCTCCGGCGGCGGGGACAAGGCGGTGGTGCTGTGGGATGTGGCGTCGGGGCAGGTCGTTCGCAAATTCCGGGGCCACGCGGGGGTGAGTACAAGCAAGAAGAGGCCTCGTTAGAGCGTGGCTGGCGGAGAGGACCCGCATGATCGTGTAGGTGGTGACAGGGAACCCTTCCACCCCCCACCCATTACAGAGCAAGCATCCTCTCCCCATGGCCCAGCATGCAGTTTCCCCGGAACCTTTCACCTCCTTATCTCTCGCCTTCGCCTTTGCTTTAACGTGCATCGGGAACCCTGCCTCTAGCCCGCTCCTCCAAAGTCCAGCCTCCTCTGAATGGCAATTCCTGTTTCTCAGAAGGTGAACACGGTCCAGTTTAATGAAGAGGCCACGGTCATCCTGTCTGGTGAGTCTGGGGCCTAGGCAGGGTGCTGCCCTTACAGCTTAAACCTGACCTCACCTTCATGCCGGCCTCACAGGCTCTATCGATTCCAGCATACGCTGCTGGGACTGCCGATCTCGAAGGCCTGAGCCAGTGCAGACTCTGGACGAAGCCAGGGATGGCATATCCAGTGTGAAGGTGTCAGACCATGAGATCCTAGCAGGGTGAGTGGAGCCAGGACCTCACCCCCCCCCCCCCCCGGGTGCCACGGGGGACCACCGCTGCCTCTCTGCTTAGGTTTTAAATCTACCCTTCTCCCCTCAACTTACAAGGCACCCGCACAGTCTGGTCTCTGCTGACTTTTCAGCTTTTAGCCATTCTTGGTCTCATTTCTCTTAATATGCTAAGGATGCTCTCACCCCAGGATCTTTGCATTTGCTCTTCCTCTACCTGGACTCCCTTTCTAATTACTCATAGTGGTTTTTGAATGTTACCCACATATGACTTTTTTTTTTTTTAGTTGGTGCACATGCAGCAGTGAATGAAATAGGGGAAAATCTGCTCACATAGGGTTGGGATTCTAGTTGCAGGAGGCGAACAATTAAAATTCCCAAGCCTGGTGCCCAAGTGTTGCCACAGCCCAGAGGAGTGCCTTTCTCGCCGTGGGGGCAGTTGGGGCTGCCCACACACATCTCCTTCTGGACCACACATGTTTGTCTCCTTGTCCTTCAAGACCCAGTGTAGATGTCACCTCCTTGGGGAGGCCTTCCTAGATTACTTTCAGTCAGCAAGGCTCTCCGATGGCAGAAAGTGCCCCTGGCTTGGTCGCAGCTCTGTCCCAAGGAGCAGCCCAGAGAGGATGCTCAGTACATAGCAGAAACGGGTGGAGTAGGTCCTGATTGGCCCTGGGTGTGTATGTCTCAGAGCCGGCGCGCTGGAATTCCACTCGTGAATTCACTTCAGTGCATATTTTCCATGGCTAGCCTTGAGGGTGAGCATGACCTTGAAGGGTACACAGGAAGGGCAAGCCCAGCCTTGCCTTCAGGGTCCTGGCAGGGTCAGGGAGGGCAGTGGGACCGGAACCACGGGCCTGCTGGCCCCAGGTGATGCTTCAACTGGACCCCTCCTGCAGCTCCGTGGACGGCCGGGTGAGGCGCTATGACCTAAGGATGGGGCAGCTCTTCTCAGACTATGTGGGCAGTGAGTGTGGCCGGGCTGTGGGACAGGCAGGGGAGGTGGGGGCAGCAAACGGGGCCCCAGCCTCACCCACCGCACCCCTCCTCACCCCCCAGGCCCCATCACGTGTACCTGCTTCAGCCGGGACGGCCAGTGCACCCTGGTGTCCAGCCTGGACTCCACGTTGCGGCTTCTAGACAAGGACACAGGGGAACTATTGGGCGAGTGAGTCCTCAGGGTTGTGGCCCCCAGCGCCCCCCCCCCCGAGACCTAGGCCCTTCTGACCCCCCACCCCCACCCCCAGGTACACGGGCCATAAGAACCAGGAGTACAAGCTGGAGTGCTGCCTGAGTGAGCGTGACACACACGTGGTCAGCTGCTCCGAGGACGGGAAGGTGTACTTCTGGGACCTGGTCGAGGTGAGCCCCCTCCCACCGACTCTGTCCCAGGGTGCCTCCGTCCCCCCCACACCTGGAAAAGGGAATGCTGTTCACGCTGGGAGCTGGGAGTGAGTGGCAGGATGAAGCAGGAAAGACATTCCTGCCAGAGGGAACGGTGTGTGCGAAGGCTTGGAGGCGTGGCCCGCATCGGTCAGGGGATGGAAGTGCTGTGGGATGGCGGCGGCGGCAGGGTCCACAGAAGCCACGCCACGATGGGGCCCGAGTTCAGGAAACTTGCACCATCTCGGAGCATCCCCGTGGTTTCTCACCCCAAACCCTGTGAGCCCTGACCTGCTGCATCCGGTGGGGATGTCAGGCTGGGGACAGACAGTTCTGGCCTAATGGGATCGGGGCTGAGGGTTTGCCAGGGAGAGTAGGCCCCCTCAGAGGGCGGAGGAAATGGGGGGGGGGCAGGCGCACTGGAGACGAGGGGCCGGCTCTCTGGGAACTAAGAACGCGTCTCAAGAGTCTGGTAGAGACTTCAGGAAGTCTCCCTGAAGGTGTTTGGCCTGAGCACCTGGAAGGTTGGAGCATCTGAGGGGTTCATTTTGGGGCAGGTGCTGGGAAGCGGTCCGAGGCAGGTGGCTGGAGGTCGTGGGGGGAGAGACGCGCACCCGTAACTGCTCCCCGTCCTCCGCTCCATAGGGTGCCCTGGCGCTGGCCCTGCCCGTGGGTCACGGTGTGGTGCAGTCGCTGTCCTTCCACCCCCTGGAGCCCTGCCTGCTGACCGCCATGGGGGGCAGCGTCCACTGCTGGCGGGAAGAGGCTTACGAAGCGGAGGGTGGCCCAGGCTGAAGCTGGGGACCCACCGCCACCAAGGACACAGACTCGAGGTTCACAGACAGCATTTATTGTAGACGTGCCGCTGACCAAGGAGCGAGGGGAGACTGGGTGTGTGCACTAATAAATAGAGGAGGGGAGGCTTCGCGGGTGCGGCAGCCCTTCAGTCCTCATTCTTCTCAGGCATGAAGGCATCTGTCTTCTGGGCGAAGGTTTCAGCCACAAGCAGGGGAAAGACCAGGGAGGCATCGGCATAGACCTGCGCAGGGGACCTGGGTGAGGCCCGGGGACCTCGGCCACACCCTGGGAGGCTCTGCGCCCCCGCCAGCTGACCGCACTCACCTTGACAGGCTGTGCGTCCACCCGGATCTTGCCCCAGGACACTGCTTCGTCCGGCCTCGCACCCGAGTCTGAGCCGTCAAATTCCTGGGCCGTGTTGATGTAGACGGCATAGTCGGCCCCGTTCCGCTGTGGGGAGGGGCACGGTGGGCTGGGCAGGCAGAATGACGCGGGGGCAGGGGACTAGCAAGGGGTTGAGGGACGTGGCCTGCATGAAGGATGCCCTCAGTGTGGCCCCCTTGCTCCAAGGCAAGGCCCACGTGGTTCATGGGCAGGTAGGGGGTTCGTAGGGTCAACGGGCAGAGGTGCCCCTAACCTACCTGCTACGTGGCAATGGCTCTCCCACGCCTGCTCAGCAGGGCTGCCACCAATTATATAGAAGTCTCTTGCCCTGGTCCAGGCCCCATCACTGCTTACCCAGAACCCACCCCCACCCCCCACCGAAGCCACAGGGCACCTGTGAGCCCCTGAGTCGCATCCTAGAGGCCTGACTCCTGATTTATTTCCCATTCCCCTTTATGGCCTCCCAACTGTTCCTTAACTTAGTTCTGGCACCTCAGAGCCTTTGCTCTGGCTGTTTCCTCTGCTCCCAGGCTGGATTTCCCAGAATTTCCCTTTCCTGAAGAGTACTCCTTTCTTGTGCTATCTTGTCATCCCTCAGTTTTTCCCACAGCAGTTACTGCCACCTGGCGTGCATGGCACTGGTCTCCTGCCCATCTCCCTGACGAGAACCTCAGTCTGGGAGGGCAGGGATTGTGGCCTGTCTGGTCCACAGCTGCCTCCCTGGCACGTGGCACAGGCCTGGGACTCCGGCCTGTGTGCCTGGCAAGCCCGAGTGCCGCCCTCCCTAGGGCCCAGGCTCTAGGCCCACTCACCATGAGGTTGGCGTTGGCAATGTGGTGCTTGACCACACCCCCGCCCAGGATGATCATGCCGGTGCGCTTGGCGAAAATGGCCTGCGTGTTGATGAGCCTCAGGTCTGGGAGGAGAGCGCTGGGGTCAGGCCGTGGGCCCAGCCAGCCCTCCCCCCCAGCTCCTCTGTGGCCCCAGCACCTCACCCTCAACGATGTCCAGGACCAGGCCTGGCTTCTTGTAGGAATGGAAGAAGATCATGTCGCCCAGGGAGCCATCTGTGAGCGCCGGGCTCAACACGGGGATGTGGTTCTGGGAGACAGCAAGACAGGAGAGCAGCTGGACTTCAGGGGGGGTGCGGGGGCTGAGGGCTGGTCCCCATCCCAACAGCGTCCCCTCCTCTGCCTGATTATGGGCAGAGTGCTTGCGTTCCCTGGGGCCTCCGTTTCCTCAAAACTCAGGTGCTGCAACAGCACCTCACTCACAGGTGACACATATGTGAGGAAGGCCGGCAGATGCTAGGATGGTGTCTGACAGTGGTGTCGCCCGGTTACTCCGACTGCTGGAGCTCCGCCTCTGAGGAGTGTGGGACCACGTGCCCTGCCCCATGATGGTTGCTAGGCGCGACCCAGACAAACAGCCTCCCCTTGGCATCACGCCCTCCTTCACCTGAGACCCTATTGGCTCCCCAGGTGGCCATGAAGATGACACCAGCTAACCGGGGCCAAGGCCGGTATCTGCCCCGCCCAGGCCCTCACCTTCTGAGCCCAGTAATACACGGATTCTGGGTTGTTGATCTCCTTGCCCAGCCGGGCGATCATCTTGGAAGGTGTCCACTTCACACCCTAGGAGGAGACATTGGCTTCCAGCAGCAGGGCCTCCCCGGGCTCCTACCATGCCTGCCCCCCCCAGGTCACTCCTGCCCCACCTCTGTGTTCTGCTCCAGCACCATCTGGTCCAGAATGGGCATCACCCAGTCCTCAAATTTGCAGTAATTGTCATTGGGCACCAGTAGGTTTCCAATCCTGCGAACATGAGGCATGTGAGCATCGGGTCTCAGGACCCTCAGCCCGGCTCCCTTGCCCAGCACCCCCCGGGGTCTCCACCTGTTGATCCCATTCTCACGTAGCTCCTTCCCCCTGAGACTGAAATCGCCCAGGTACGTGGGTGCCAAGCACTTGATGAAATCCTCCTCCACGCCGCCAGCTGTGGTCACTAAGACGTCCACCTGCAGCCACAAGTCAGTGAGGTTGGCGGGAGAAGAAGGGCCCTGCCCGCCTCCCAGGCAGGGCTCGTAATTCCCAGCCCTCATCCAGTGACCCTTGGGGGAAGCTCTACTACAAAACAAAACTAGATCATGTCCCTCTGCTTAAAACTGACCCTGTGGGGGCACCTGGGCGGCTCAGTCAGTTAACTGTCTGGCTCTTGATTTCGGTGCAGGTCATGATCTCACAGTTCATGGGTTCAAACCTCGCGATGGTCCCTACGCTGACAGTGGTGAACCTGCTTGGGATTCTCTCCTCTCTGCCCTTCCCCAGCGTGCTCTCTCTCTCTCTCTCTCTCAAAATACATAAATAAACTTAAAAAAAAAAAAAGTGACCCTGCCCCCCCATGTCATTTAAATGATCAATCATCTTGCCCCTAAGACCAAGGCCGCAATCCCACCAGGTACCCACCATGTTGTGTTGCACGAGGTAACGGATGGTCTCACGGAGGCCTGAACTGATGAGATTGGATGTGTAGCCCAGAAAAATGGTGCAGCCCGTAAGTGGGCGGCGGCTCTGGGTCAGGTCCGCATGATGGTCTTCATCCTGCGACAGCGGCTCTAGTTTCTTCTCTATCTGGGTGTAAAGGAGAGGTCCAGTTACCCTCACCCTCTGGCCCCAAACTCTAGCCGGAGGACTCGCCCCCAGGTCCCCAACCAGGGATAGGGGACCACTTCTACCCGGAACACCTGGAACCAGAAAACGAACGCCCCCTGTGCAGGCTCCGCCCCATTCACAGTCCAAATCTTAGGGCACACGCTCAGGTTTTACCCCTCTTTCAAGGAATCAGAGCGCATGACCCTTGCGGGCCCGGCCTCCTTCCCTATCGGAAAAAGCAAATCCCAGCTCAGACCCTGTCCTGACTTAAGCTCCTCCTCAACCGCACCGTCCAGAACTCTTTCACTGGTTACCTATAACCCGCCCCCTATCTAGAATCAGTCCCAACCTCATTCAGAAAGTAGGGTGCGACGCGGGTGGAGGGACCACGTCCCCTTCCCAGCTCGGAAACTCCCGCCCAGAATGGGCCCTGCCTCTCTCCACCTATTGGGCCGCCCAACAAAGGACACTCCTCCTTCTCCAGGGGAGCCCCCGCCTCCGTCAAGTACTGCGTTGCCGCTACTGGTGGCCACACCCCCCTCCATCCAGGAAGTCCCGCCCCAGGCATCACCATGGCGTTGACTTGCTGTACTGCGCGCCCGAAGTTGGTGGCCTGGAAGCCGGTGGTGCCGAAGGCCTCCAGTAGCGCACGGTAGTCCACGCCGCGGTTGAAGTCGTAGCCTCGGACTTGGGAGCTCTCGGACGGCAGCGCCGAGCTGTGCTTCAGCACGGCGGCCAGCGCCGCTGCAGGTGCCTCCCCCTCCGGAGGGCCCTCCATGGCCCTGCGGCCGCACTCTCAGGTCACAGCCGCCCCAGGCCGGGCCTCCGGCGGCCTCGAGACGCGCTAAGCGCCGGCACGCGGCTCTGCAGCACAGTGCAGGAAGTCGGGCTCGGGAAAACCTGCGGAAGGGGACGGGAAGTTGCTCGGTCACATGACTCTCTCGGACTCCCGTAATCCAGGGCGCGTCCATCTTGCGCGTGCGTTCCGTAATACGGAAGCCGCGAGGAGCCGTTGTTCCCCGCTTCGCGTCCTGTCGGCCCGAGATGAAGAGTTCTACTTTTACTGCCGCCTGCTGGAGACCCCCGCGTTGCGCGGCGCTTTCCCGTTCGTTTCTGTTCCATTAGGGGAAAAGGATGGCTTCTTAGACAGGATTCGAGTTATCGGGAGAGGTCACATAGTGTCTGCCTCTGGGCGTCTTTTATCAAATGGTTTAGTGATCCCTGTGCGTGCCTCACAGGTCTCCAGAGACTCCACAAGCTGCCTAACTCTGGCCTTCCCCTGGCAGCTACGGCTGTCACTTCTTCCAGGAAGCCTTCCCTGACCTCTCTCAGAATAAGGGACCGCCTCTGAGATCGAAGGCTGACACCTCGCTGCAGCAAGACTGTGAGACCTGCGAAGGTGGGGTCTGTAGGTTAGGGGTCCTCATAGCCCTGGACAGGGTCTGGTCCAGGGGGATTCTTTTAACAAGTCACTCTACAATTTATGGGGTCTGTACTATACGTTGAGCTCTGGGTTTGGCGCTGCAGCTTTATCAGCGAGTGAGATGCAGACCTTGCCCTACTGGAGTTCACAGTTTCGGGAGCTAGAAAGGTGACAACAATGGTGGTTAAGTGTTACTGGGGATTCAGAAATGATGGTGTGTCTCTGAAGTAAGGATGGATGGAGAGGTAACCCGGTGGCCTTATTTGCAGGGACAGGGTGTTAGGGAAGGACACCGTGGAGGTGACATTTAAGCCAAGGCCAGAAGGCTGAGAAAGGCCACATATGTGAAGATTTGGGGAGGCCATTTCCCCATCATCCCCAGTTGGGAAAGAGAACTGCCAGTGCAAAGGTCCTGAGGCCAGAGATTAGCCTACTTAATCGGAGGAAGAGAACATCATCCTTGACATCTTTGACAGTCTCCACTTGTATCTCCTAACCCTGATCTCCACTTTCCTCCTAACCCTGATCTCCCTGAACTCTTTCACACCTCATCAAGGAGCCCTCAACTCTGCAAATGAGCACTCCACACACCTGGTGGGCTCAAAACTGGGGACTTGAACTTGATGTCTCTCCTTCTCTCACACCCACATCCATCCCTCAGCACATCCGCCAAGTTCTACCCACAAAGTAGGTCCCGAATCCAGGTGCCTTTTTTTTTTTTTTAGCTAGAATTGACCTAGAACACTATATTAGTTTCAGGTGTACAACTCAAGGATTGGGTATCTGTATCCAGGTGCTTCTCTTCATTCTCCGCCTCCACACTGGGCTACCTTCCATCTTCCAGCTTTGGCCAGAGAGCTCATTAAACAGAGCCAGATACAGCATTCCTTTTTAAATGTTGTTATTGTTTAGAGAGAGACAGCACGAGAGCAGGGGAGAGGGGCAAAGGGAGAAGGAGGGAGGGAGGGAAGGAGAATCCAAAACAGGCTCCATGCCCAGCACAGAGCTGGATGCCAGGCTTGATCCCACGACCCTGGGACCATGACCTGAGTGGAAATCAAGAGTCAGACTCTGGGGGCACCTGGGTGGCTCAGTCGGTTGAACGTCCGGCTTCGGCTCAGGTCATGATCTCACGGTTCGTGGGTTTGAGCCCCGTGTCAGGCTCTGTGCTGACAGCTAGCTCAGAGCCTGGAGCCTGCTTCACATTCTGCGTCTCCCTCTCTCTCTCTGACCCTCTCCTGCTCATGCTGTCTCTCTCTCAGAAATAAATAAGACATTAAAAAAAAAAAAGAGTCAGACTCTGTACTGACTGAGTAGCCAGGCACCCCCACCAGGTTTGTGTGTGTGTGTGTGTGTGTGTGTGTGGTAAAATATATATATAATCTATTATCATAATCATTTTTAAATGTTTATTTCCTTTTGAGAGAGAGAGAGCACGGGAGGGGCAGAGAGAGAGGGGGACAAAGGATCCAAAGCAGGCTCTGCACCGACAGCAGAGAGCCTGCGGTGGAGCTTGAACTCACGAACCATGAAATCATGACCTAGCTGAAGTAGGACACCCAACCGAATGAGCCACCCAGGTGTCCATAGTCATTGTCAAGTGTACAGTTCCATGGCATTAAGCACATTCACACTTTTGTACGAACATCACCATACATTTCCAGAACTTTCTCATCTTTCCAAACAAACTCGGCCCCATGAAACACGAACTCCTCACCCTGTCCCCCAACCCATGGTTCCCACCATCTACTTCCTGTCTCTGTGGATTTGACTCCTTTGGGGGCCTTACATAGACAGGATGGTACATTATCGGTCATTTTGTGACTAGCTTATTTTACGTAACACAACGTTCTCAGCTGCATCCGTGTTGTAATGTGATTTATTTTTTACCAGATCCTGCTGGATGCCCTGAAGAGAACGGGGGGCAGGGGGAAGGATGGAGCAGGGGAGCCCCGAGCAGAGGTGAGTCACTGGCCCAGGCCAGCAGAGATGGCCCAGGCCAGCAGAGATGGGAGCAGCCCCTGAGAGACACCAGCAGGCGTGGAGGGAAGTGACCAGCCTGAGAACCTAATTTGAAGCTGATCTAATGGTTCCTGGGAAAGGCTCACGTATGGGGACACCAGAAAGAAAGGATTGAAGGGGTTCAGGGTTTGGGCCAGGGCAGTTGGGTGGATGGTGGTGAACATAGGGGCAGAAGATCGGGGCGGCGGAGGGGAGAGATTCTGGAGCCCAGCTTCGGCCGAGTTAGGTGGCCCCCGGGACATCAGTATGACACACGGAAAAGCGGGAAGGTCTTTGGGTAGATGGGGAATCAGGGAGGGACTGGGATGGGGCCGTAGGCAGAGGATGGAGTCGTCTGTGGGTAAGATCCCGGGGGTGAGCTTAGATGGAGGAGGAGAGGCAGGCCCGCACCTGAGCCGGGGTACGCTCTCTACGTGGTGGGGAGCAGAGGCCAGGAACCCCGCAATCCCCTTAGCCAAGGTGACATGTGACACCAGGGCAGCACTGGGTCCCCTGGGGCAGGGACTCCCTCAGCTGAGGCAGCTGCTGCCGCTGCTGCTGCTGACATTTCACTCCATGAGTGTCCAGGCTTCAAAGTCTCTGCAGGGGTGAGGGAGGGAGCGGAGGGGGCTGAGAGGCCAGGCGGGCAAGGGAAGGAGCCAGAACGGGGCTGCTGGAGGACAGAGCAGCCAGGAATCCGCCCGCGTCCTCAGCTGAAGTATGTGGTCCTGACGGGGGCCGCCACCCCCTCCCCACAGTCCCCAGAGGACACAAGAGGCAGTTGGGAGGCTCTCAGGGAGCCCCTAGGGCTCGGGTCTGGAACCGAGCCCGCTGCCTCTGACCCTGCTCGCTTTCCTGCAGATGTCCAGCAAGGTGGCCATCGGCAGCGACATCGGGCAGGCCCGGCGGGCCGTGGAGCAGCTGCGGATGGAGGCGGGCATCGACCGCGTGAAGGTGAGGGCCTGCGTGGCCTGGGCATGTCCGGGAGAGGGGGGCAGGCGACAGCCCGGGTCTGGCTGACCAGGCTGGCCTGCAGGTGTCCAAGGCGGCCGGCGACCTGCTGCAGTTCTGCGCAGAGCAGGCCAAGAGCGACCCCTTCCTCGTGGGCATCCCGGCGGCCACCAACCCCTTCAAGGAGAAGAAGCCCTGTGCCATCCTGTAACCCGCGGCCCCGACCGCCCAGGAGCCCTCAATAAAAATGAAGTGAGTGATCCTCGGATGTGGCTTGGCCAGGCTCTACCGGGGGCAGAGGGGGACTGCAGACCTGGCCCAGCCTCCCCCCCACCCCCCGCCACTCCAGGGTCATGGCCACCACAGCACGCACACCTAGACCCCCGGATGGAAGGGTGTGCGCTTCCCCCAGCCCTCCTGCTCCCCTCCCCCCGCACCTCCGGGGTAGCAGTAGCAGATCCCCCTCCCGCTGCACAAACGCGCCGAGGGTCAGAGTCCCACTCCGCGTGCTGGCACACGTCACACATGCCTTCATGGCCCACAGCCCACAGGTGCCAGGATGCCAACAGGCACACGTCCTCAAGGGCCTCCTCCTTCCTCACACCCCCACATCCGCCGGCACACAGATATGCAGACAGGGTCACCTCCCGGCTGGCACACAGACACACGTGATCACAGAAACGCACTGCACTGGAGCGCGCACAGGCACACCCGGACGGAAGCGGTGGCTGCCACCAAGGCTTTCACGAGCATCTCACAGACTGCGCCCCCCCCACCCCGCAGCCAGCACAGGCAGAGCCCTCAGGTGACACCAATATCTCAGGTTTATTTCTCCTTCGCTCTCCAGGGAGAGCAGGTGTCCAAACCACAACAAAAACCGGGCCCAAGGGAGGGAGCAAGCAGTCCCCTGGGTGGGCCTGAACGGCAATGTCACCTTCCCTGGCTTGGGGCGCAGCCCGGGGTCACTGCCTAACCGTGGCCCGGACTCCTCGGGCCCCAGGCCTCTGGGACAGGGCAGGGGCGGCACCAGTGTGGGGGAAGGTCCCCCGAGAACAGAGGCCCTGGCCCAGCCTGCGGGGCCGGCAGATCCACGTCCACGTGCGCCTGCTCAGGCCTGCAGCCTCCACACCTCCAGCGACAGACCCCCGGAGGCAGCCACCACCAGGTTGCCCTCGGCACAGATCTGAGAGGGCAGAAACAGAAGTCAGGGCCGTTCTGGGCGGCTGGGCGGGGTGCACAGGGCCGGGCCTTACCCCATTTAGCACATTGTTGTGGCTTCGGGTGCAGATGGTCCTCGGCGGGTCCGTGGGCACGTGCACCTGGCGAGGGGCGGGGGGCAAAGGTCAAGAAGCGCGCTTCTGGCCGGCGGGGACAGCGGGGGAGGGGCCTGTCCTGGGGTCTCACCCGGATGGTCTTGTCCGTGGACGTGGTGTACAAGGCCCCCAGTGAGTGTTTGATCCCTGTGATCTGAGACCTGTGGCCCACGTCAAAGGACTGCAGAGAGGAGGGACAGGTGGCACTCAGGCGAGGGCTCTCCCGAGGCCAGCCCGACAGCCACCCACAGGACAAGAGGCAGGGAGGAGGCCCCGGGATGGTTGGGCAGGGGCCGGAGCCCCGGCTGACCCGGACAAGCTGGAAGCAGCCATTGTGGTTGGCGAAGACGTGCAGCAGGCCCTGGTTGTCACCAGCCCAGAGCTGCGGCTCCTGGTAAGACATGCAGAGCAGGTAGGAGTCCAGCTGTGGGAGGGACGCGGGGACACAGCAGCTCAGGCCGGGCCGCAGCCCCGGTCTCTCCGGGCCGCGGTGGGGAGGGCGGGGAGGGCACCTGCAGTCGCTGCAGGACGCTGTTGGCCCGGCGGTCGAACACCACGAGCGTGTGGTCCTCACTGCCCGAGATGATGTGACGGTCATCCGCCAGAAGCGCCAGCACCGCGCTGGAGTGCAGCCGCCTGCTCTTCAGCAGGGCCGGGCCCACTTGGCGAGTAGTGCAGGAGGAGGGAGACGTCAGAGCCCCTTGGAGGGGCCCCAGGCCCCTCTCCCACCGGGCCAGATCCTCGGTCTACTCTGCCCGCCCACCCACATCCCACGAGCGATCCCATCTTTCTCCCCTCCCATCCCATCTGGAGCGGGGCCATCCCGGACCCCCAAGCCTCTGCCCTCCCATCTCCCATCGCGCTCCCATCTGCTCGCAGTACAGAGCAGACCTCGGCAAGTCCCGGCATAAAGCACTTCCTGCTGCCGGCTGATCGGAGATGCGTCCCCAGCATCACCCATCACCCCGCTCTGGCTGTGCCTGGGTGAAGAGCCCTAGCCCTTCAATTAAAAGAAGGATAAATAAATAAACAAACAGACAAACAACAGAAAAGGCTTCTGTGCGGGGCAGTGTTCATCCTAGGCTTTTTATGTACACATTTACTCTGCCAAGACTCTTCCTGTCACCTCCTCCAGTTAACCCGAGGGGGCCGGAGTTAGTACCCACATTTTACAGATGGGGAAACTGTGGGTCGAGCTTGAGAGCTAGGAAGTGGCGGAGCCAGGGTTCTCGGGGGCTGTTTCACCTCCCCCAGCACTGAGGCTCAGGGGTCCCTCACCCCAGGTGGAGGCGGGTCCCAACACCCGCACCGCCCCCCCCACCAGTTGCCTTGGTGGCCCCCAGCACAGCCCAGGCCACTCTTGAGTGGTCAGCTTCTGGTTGTGACTGTCATCCCAGCCAGGCTGTGAGGCGTCTCCTTCCCCAGCATGACCCCGGAGACCCCCAGGCAGCCCTGCTCTCCCCACCTAGTTCCCAGTGCCCCCAGCCCACCTCTGGGGTCGTAGACGGTCACCTTCTTGTCATAGGTACCAGTCACCAGGATGTCAGGCCGGTAGGACAGGCACAGCACAGCTGCCTTGCCCCTGGGAACACACGGACCGCAAGGCTGGGGCTGCGACTGGGCAGGACCCGCCGCCGCTGCCCCACCCCCCTGCCCAGGCCCCCACACACTTTATCTCGCCAAACTGCTGCCCGTCCGCCGCCATGTCCCAGAGCTTCACCGTGCTGTCCCAGGAGCCAGAGCACACGCGGTGGTCCAGCGCTGCCAGCGACCACACCCAGCCCTGCGGACCAGACCTGTGATCAGCCCCCTCTCAGAGGTAACACAACTGAGGGTCAGAGGAGGGAGACAACGGACCCAAGAACCCAGAACAAGTGAGCTCCAAGCAGAGGTTAGGACTTTGGTCTGTGGGTCTGACTCCAGAGCCCAGTGGGGACACACCCACACAGAGTAATACTCCCAAGTCCCTGCGAGAAGGCACCAGTGGTGGCTTGAGGCCGCCTAACAATGTGATTAAGAATGGGGCCTCCAGGGGCACCTGGGTGGCTCAGTCAGTTAGGCATCCGACTTCAGCTCAGGTCATGATCTCACGGTTCGTGGGTTCGAGCCCCGCGTCGGGCTCTGTGCTGACAGCTAGCTCAGAGCCTGCAGCCTGCTTCAGATTCTGTGTCTCCCTCTCTCTCTGACCCTCCCCTGCTCATGCTCTCTCTCTCTCTCAGAAATAAATAAAACATAAAACAAAACAAAACAAAAAAAAAGAATAGGGCCTCCACTAGGGGTGCCTGGGTGGCTCAGATCATGATCTTGCAGCTCATGGGTTCGAGCCCCGCATTGAGCTCTGTGCTGAGAGCTCAGAGCCAGGAGCCTGCTTCCGATTCTGTCTCCCTCTCTCTCTGCTCCTCCCCTGCACCTGTTCTGCCTCTGTCTCTCAAAAATAAGTAGATGTTAAAAAAAAAAAGCTTTTTTTTTTTTAATTAAAAAAAAAGAATGGGGCCTTCATGACCTGGGCAAATGAAGGACCCTCCTCGTTTCTTCACTGAGAAAATGGGCCGTATCTCAGGAGCTAATATGCACAAAGCACTGGCTGATGAGTAACTCATTCCTCCCCAGACTCTCTGAGGACAGTATTGTAACTGTGTCCTGTTCTACAAGTGAGGAACCTGGAGCACAGAGAGGTTGAGTCCCTTGCCTAAGGTCACACAGCCAGAAAGTAGCAGAGTGGGGATTTGAACCCAGTGGCCTGGCTCTGAGACCAAGGTCTTGGCCACCTGCCTAGACCACCTCAAGGACTGGTGGAGGTGCCGCTCCACAGCCACTTCTCACGAGATGCCAGCCGCGCGCAGAGCTTTGTGATCCTCGTGACGGCGAACTGCCCTGCCCTGTGCCTCTCAAGGTATAGCTGGTGAGCACTGAGTGCCTACGGTGGATCCCAGCCTAAGCGAAGCTCTTAGGGCACGCTCATCTCACTCGTCCTCATCTGGACCCCTCCACAGCAACAGCAACGGCGGCCCAGAGAAGTCCTGCGTCTCATCCATGTCACACCAACAGCAGCAGAGTGAGATGTAAATCTCTGAGGTCTGGTGTCAAAGAAAACCCATGCCCTTGGCCACGGCGCCCCACCCAGACTTCTCCCCTCCTGTCTCCGTTTGGCCGCCTTTTTAAAATTATTATTATCTCTATCTATCTATCTATCTATCTATCTATCTATCTACCTACCTACCTACCTACCTACCTACCTACCTACCTATCCAACTACCTACTTATTTGAGGCGGTGGGCAGAGAAACCCAAGCGGCCGCTGCACTGTCAGTGCAGAGCCCGATGCAGCTCGAACTCAGGAACCGTGAGATCATGACCTGCGCCAGAATCAAGAGTCAGACGCTCAACCGACTGGGCCACCCAAGTGTCCCCCCCCTTTTTAAAAAAATATTTATTTATGGCCTCCTAACCCCTCACCTTGTGGGTGCTGTTCTTCTGGGTGCCCAGGGCCTTGACCAGAACCCGGCTGGGCTCCACCCCCAGCTGCCGCAGGTCCCACAGGTTGACATTGCGATCTCGGGAGCCTGACAGACAAAGCGTCCCACCCTGAGAAGAGAGTGAGGCGGTGTTGCCAGGGTCACCCTGGCCCACCCCTCCCGTCGCCCCGCCCACCGCCCCCGCCTCACCTCCAACAGCAGCACTGAGTCAATGGAAGCAAAGTGTCCATCGGCCAGGCAGAAGTACTCAGCCCAACGCCCGTCCTCCGCCCAGCGCGACAGGTGTTGCTCCAGCTCAATGCAGGCTGTCGGCCAGTCAAAGTCCTCCTCTGTAGGGCACCGTGAGCAGGGTCCCCAGTGGGCAGGAATCCTGACATCCACACCAGCTCTGAGCCTACCTCTGGCTTCCGGGAAGCCCAACCTTCCCCAAACTTGGAGGAAGCCCCACGTGGATCCCTCACCGCACCCTGAGGCCCAGGATCTAGCTTTTGGGACCACCGGCCCACCTACCTTCCAAGAGGATCTAGGACTACTCACCCCAGTTTCCAAAAATTGGGTATCTGGAGCCTCAGTATCACCTTCCCAGGCCTCAACCCTCCCTCCCCCAACCCAGCTGTGGAGGATGGTAGCCAAAGAACCTCAGGGTCCTGCCTCAACCCTCAGGATAGGCCTCGGAACTAGGACTTTTTGCCTCAGGGATCTTAACCAGACCCAAAGAAGTGTTCTCAAATGAGTATCTGTAAACTTGGGAGCCCTGTCAAGATGTAGCACTCAAGCCGCAGGTGCAGAGACTCAGTGGTATAATAGAACTCCAGCAATTATGTTTATCAAGCTGTTCAGGAAAGTCCGTTCAATTCAAGGTCACCAAAGCTGTCTTATCCCCCAGGGAGCAGGGACCTCAGGGACAGGAGGAATTACCACCAGCCCCTGCCTAAGATCAGGCTAGACCCTGGGCTTGGGTTTCTGCGATTGTGGGTATCAGGGATTCTAACCGCTAAACTCTAGACTGGGTTCAAGGGTTGCAGGCTCTGGATCTTTAGTCTATTCCTCACTCCCACCTAGGTCAAGGCTCTTAAGGGTGAAGGGTTTTGGCACCACCAGCTGCTAGCTCAGCATCTATACTCAGAGGATTCTTTGCCTTACCCTGAGCCCCCAAGAGATTCCAAAAGCTGAGACTTCAAGTCCCTGTGTCAATCCCTCAGCCAGGGGTCAGGGGCCTGGTACCACCAGACCCCAAGCCTGAGGATCGTTGGAGCCCGAGTTCAGAGACTTCAGCCCCCCGAGGTAAATCTCCACCGCCCCGGAACCCCAAGCGTCTGGTTTACGGTCCACCTGGCGGTCAGGGGCTTTGGCACCATCGGCAACTGGCTCAGCCTCCACCCAAGGCGCAACAACCAGAAAGCCTGCTCCAGGGTTCTGCTCACAGCGCCCCCAGGTATCTAACCCCTTGCCCCAAGCCTAACCTGGGCAGCTGACCCCGGCCCCCCAGACGCGCGCACCTTCCACCACTGGGTAGGGCGCGCGTACGCGGCGCTGCGCGCGTAGCCTCCAGGTGACATGGTCACGCACGAGGTCGCGCAGCGTGTGGCACACGCGCGGCAGGACGTGGAGCACCAGGCGCGCGTCTAGGTAAGCGCAGATCTCGAGCAGCAGCTCCGGAGGAAGGCTCAGCAGGCCCGGGACGCCCACGGGCGGACCCTTGGACGCCGCCCGCGGCTCCAGGGCGCCAGGGGACGCGACGGGCGCAGACAGCAAAGGCGCGCGCGGGAGCGTCTGCCCAACTTTCGGCGGACTGAGCACGCGGGCCACGTAAGCCTCGGCCTGTGCGTCGGGGTCGGGCTCCGGCTCCGGGTCCGAGTCATCGTCCCAGGAGCGGGGATCGTCGCGCGGCCCTGGGGGAAGCTCCATGGCGACCGAGTGGGCGCGGCCAGCCCGGCCCTGTCACCCGAGGGACCCGCGTCCCGTCTCCTAGGCAGCGCGAAGGCACTTCCGGCGCTGCTTAATGACGTTGCAGCGCCGACCGGAAGCGAGCTGCGGGCTCCTGGAATCCAACTGTTTACAGAGGCTCCGTGGTGCGCCTCCGTGGGCCCTGGGCTGGAAAATGTAGACTCCTGCCCCGTTTGTTAAACAGGCATCTGTGGCGGTCCTGATGCAGACGGCCCGCTGACTCCGGTTCGACGCGGCTTGGCCAAAGGCATCGCTCACGGGTGGCACCGAGCTTAGAAAGGCAGTCCCTCTTCCCGAGTTCACGGCCTGAGGCCAATAGAGATTCCAACTCCTGTCTCTCCTTCCGGAGCCGAGCCAGAAACATGCAGCTGTACTGCAGAGGCCTCGGTGAAACAAGTCTCCGAGTGCCCTATAATTGTATTCCTCTCTTATTTACTGAAAGCTTCTTTTGAGCCACGCGGTATTAACCGAGCCACATAAATCTCTCAGAGCACTTGCTGTTGTTCTCTCTCTTCTTTTTTAAATGTTCATTTATTTTGGGGAGAGAGAGCGAGCGAGCGGGGGAGAGGCCAGAGAGGGAGACCAGAATCGGAAGCAGGATCCAGGCTCTGAGCTGTCAGCACGGAGCTCCACGCAGGGCTGGAACTCACGAACCACGAGATCATTACCTGAGCAGGAGTCGGATGCTTAACCGACAGAGGCACCCAGGCGCCCCGCCCCCCCGCCTCACTCTTACACTGAGGCCTCTGCACAGTACCCTACTGTAAGACTGACCGTTTTCCCAACGTTCTTTCCCTTCCTCGCTCTTTCTCTGAGGGACAGATCGATGTTGCGCTGTGCCCTCACTAAAAATGCATGTTGAATGAACGCTGGATCGGTGTCAGCGTTTGGTTTTCCCAAGAGGAGGCACGTGACCTTGGGCCCTACTGAGGTTGCAACAAGATTGGATTCTGAGGCTGTGTATCCACCCCCCACCCCCAAGAGTTTAGCAATTTCTCATTTACCTAACTGTGGCTCATACTTACTTATTACACTTCCAACAGGCCTGATGATGAGCCTTTTACAAAAACGCCTAACCTGCCCCGTGCCCCGGGGTCGTGGGGTTAGCCGAAGAGAAGAGTGCTGCAAGACTCTGCCCCTTAGTTTTGGTCTAAGGCGGGTGGGGATCTGTAACGCCAAAGCCTCCCTGTTATTGAATTCAAGAGGCTTAGTGAGCTGTAATTCCGTTCCGGAAACGTGATTACATCACATTTAATCTTGGTCGTTCACCTTCACCTTTCCATTTTACTGGGAAGAAAGGTGAGAGGCTCGGGGTACCATGAAATGTGCCCTGTTAATGCTTGCTTACTTCCCTACTCTCCCTGTGATTTCCTGAGTCCTGTGCAGCCCCACTTCTAAAGTGGCCCAGGCACACACACACACACCCCCCACGTCTTTCCGGCCGAAGCCAAGGACACAGGAGGCCAGATGGAGATCAAGGGTTTCACAAGAAACTGATCTTTACTCAACAAAGTTCTACACGAGTGGAATCTCACGCCACCTCGGCGCCAATCCCCAGCACAGCACAGTAACAAATGGACAGACCCTGGAGCCCGTAGGAGGAGGGGCGGGGGAAGGAGGGATGTGGAAAAAAAGAGGAACTGCAGATCAAGGCCAGTCAGGGTCTGCAACCCTGGGCAGGGGAGAAGGTTGAGAAGCTGAAACTTCGTTGTGCAAAAATCAACCAAAAATAAATTAAAAAATTAAATAGTTTTCTTAAAAAAAAAAGAAGAAAAGAAAGAAAACTAGAACCAGGCTCCCCTTCCCTGAATGGCTGGAGCGCCCCCATTCCTGGGTGGAGAAGGGGTTACCAATCCCATCAGACAGTCACTCCACCCACACACCCCAAGGCCCAGCAGAGGATGCTCCGAAGAACTGGATTACCAGAAAATGCAATGGTATCTAATTTTTTTCTTTTTTTTTTTTTCCTTTTTTTTTTAAACAAATGGCTTCCAGAGACCTGTCGGGAGTTTGACAGGGTAAGGAAGCCAGCTGAGTTTACGGAATGTGCACCATCTACCCCTTGGAATAGAGGCAGGGCCCGACCCCGTCTGGCAGAAGACACAAGGCTATAATGGGGTTGGATCCACGGCCCTGCGGGGATGAATGGAACAAGCCCCAGGATGTAGGAATCCAGTCAAAGCCCCACAAAACCTCCCCGAAGGGACCTCCAGAAAAGTAAAAAGTAGAGAAGCAGAAAAAGGAAAACTAAGGGGGCGGCAGGGCCCGGTTCAGTTCTGAGGCCAACTGAGAAGTGACCATGCCCCCCTCGCCCCTCTAGGAGTGCCGCCCACACTGTGACTGCATCTCCAACCATCCCCAGAAGGTTCCCTAGAATCGCTGCCCCTATCTGCTGGGGTCCTGGAGCCCACCGGGAGCTAGGAGGACAGGGAGCCCCAGGGACAGAGTGGGGTCGGAGGTGGACCACCTTCTCTTCCAAAGCCCTTCACCTCCTTCTTGCTGGCAAAGCCTGAACTTTCATCCTCTGTCCCCATCAGTTAAATGCCCCGGCCGCAGCCCTCGTGTGAAAACTCAGGCTGGAACCTGACAGGAAGGCTCTCAGGAGCGCAGAGGAATGGACCACCTTTGAAATGGACTCGCTGACGGAGAGACACAGCGGGGAGAGGTCAGCAGCTCTGGCTGCCCCCGGCCCTCTGCAGGAAAAAGGTCCTGGCCCAGTGTCTTCAAAAGTCACTGGAGCACAGTGGGGGAGGGGGGAGAAAGGGCAACCTCTGGCCAGTCTCAGCCACCCCGGCAGTCCCCACCCTTCTGGCTGGGACATAACAAGGAGGGGGACACACGGGCTGTGGATGCCACAGAGCTGGCAGGAAGTGTGCGGAGCAGGGCCGAAGCGTGCGCGAGCTGACGCGGGCGGCCTGAAGATCGCAGTCCTCTTCCCCCCTCCCCCCGGCCCCAGGGTCCCGGCGGAGGCCCCCCAACCCACCCAGCCCTCCCCAATCACCAATTCTGGCAAAACAGCAGAAGCTTCTTAAACTCTAGATGCAGGTTACACGGAAGGCCTTACGGGTTAACTCAGGGGTTCACTAATTCTACTGTCTCCATGCAGTCGGGGAAATGGTGGGGCGGCTGGCCCAGTCTGGCGGGCTGCAGCGCCGCACATGCGTGTGGCCACGTGTGTACATGTGAGTGTACGTGTCTCTACAAGGACCCCCCTCCCCGCCTGCTTTCCCCTCGCCTCATCCTAAGCCGGATTCGGGCGGCCGTGTTGAATCTTCCCTCCCGCGAGGCTGGCCCATGTGGGCTGCCCGAGGTGACCCCGATTGAGCAAAGGGCCCTTGCTGCCAACAAGTCCCACCCCCCTCCCCTGTGTGTAGGATGAGTGTGGAGACCCCACCCACTTGCCCGCTGGCCGGCAGGCCACACACACCCGTGGCAGGTAGGTGGACGGGGAAGGCGTCTGGATTCGGGTCCCGCTCACTCCTCCCTAACCCCCCTTGACCAGGGCACGGCGACTTCCGGACGCAGCGTGCTCCCCAGCAACCCCTCCAACGACGCAGACAGAAACCTGTGGGGGGAGGCGGGGGTCAGGGCCTGCACCCCTTCACCCCCCCCCAACAGCCAGGGCCCCTGCCCCCCCACCCCCTCCACCGCATGCAGCCTTCTCACCTGGCGGTCGCGAGGCTCATCTAGACCCCATAGAAGGCGGCCAGCCTCTCCTTGAGCAGAGGCGGGAACTGCTCAGAGAACTGCTGCCAGTTCTCCTCCCCGACTTGGTCTTTGAAGCCATGGAGAATCTGCAGTGAGGTGGAGGGGTGGGGGGTGAGGGGTGCCCCGGGCCAGAGCACGAGGAGCTCAGCCTCCCGCCCTGCCACCGATGCTGGCCTGGCTGTTGCCCCCACCCCCACCTCCCGGGAACGTGTCAGGGCCCAGCGGGAGCTTACCTTATAAAACATGTCCCGAAGGTCATCCTTCGGGCTCACCCAGGAGGCTACGGCGTCGCAGAAGAAAATAAAGTCCTGAAACACGACAGGTCGTGTGTGAGGGGCTGCCCCGGCCCGCCCCCGGCGCCTTCCCTCCAGGCCCGGCTGCCCCAACCTGCACGACGCCCCCGGGGTTGACGCCTATCATCATGCAGATGCCTCGGAAGGCTGAGTCCTTCTCCTCGTTGTCCCTGATGTTCCTGAGGGATGTGCACCTGTCAGGGAGGGGAGCGGCAGGCAGTCAGCCAGCAGGGCCGGGGCCGGATAGGCATCTGGGGGTGGGGAGGGGTGGGGGGGGCGGAGGAAATGGGGAGCAGCAGGTCAGCGGGTGGTGGGGCCGGGGTGGGATGGGTTTCTACATGGGGGGGTGGGAGCAGGGGGCGGGGGTTCGCCAGGCGATGGGCCGGGGTGTGCACGTAGGGTCGGGCCTGCCCCGCCCGCCCCGCTGCCCAGCCCACCGTACGCAGGCCCCACGCAGGGGGCACACACACCAAGGCCGGATGAACTGCTGCAGCATGGGGGCCACCTCCTGCGGGCACACGTAGCCCAGGCGGCCGATGGTGATGGCTGGAATGGCAGAGGGACTCGTCAGGCGACCTGCAACCCTGAGCGGCCCCGGGACGGTACGTGGTGGGGCCTCTGGCACGAGGCACCAGCCCCGCCCCACGGGCCCTAAGGGAACAGGCCCGACCGGGGGGTCTCCCCGGAGGCCAGTGTCGTCCTCGGGGCTCTCCTCAGAACCCCCTTCCACGGCTTTCCAGACACGTTCCCTGGCTCTTTCCCAAGGCCTCCTCACCGGGAACCCCAATTCCAGGTAAGGAGGCGGCAATAGCTCAGGCCGGGCGCCCACCTGTGTTTTCCAGCAGCGTCTTGGGCGTATTGGGCCGGTTGATGATCTCCACCAGGTTGTTGAGGACCATCTGCACATAGGGCTGCATCTCTGCCCCTGGGGGACGGGTCGGTCAGAGCCCCGCACAGCCCACACCACCCAAGCTGGCCTCGGCCGCCTCTACACCCTGACGCCGTGCAACCACTGAGGGAACGGCAAATGTCCTCCAAGCCGGGCTCCAGCTCAGGACCCAGGGCCACCCAGGGGCAGCCCAAAGCCTTCCAGGCACCAGAAGTGTCCTTGGAGTCGAATCTCCAACCCCAGGCTGAGACCACATCACCCAGATTCCCTGTGGGGGTAGGCAGGGAGGGAGGGAGACACCAAAGCCTCCCGTCCTGCCTCTTTAGGAAAGCCAATCAGCCATTCGTCAGTGTCCCTGCGGAAACCGCTCAGAGGGCTCCTCTTGCCAGACCCACTTGGACAGTCCTCAAGAAGCAGCGGGGCTACCCCCAGGGGACCTGTCACTCAGAGCCAGGGGCCTGGCCTCTGCAGGGAACGGGCCGCCAAGGTGGCGGCGGGCCCGGCAACTAGCAGGCCACTCACCCATCTGCATGCAGATCTCGCCGATGGCCCAGGTGGCGTTGTTGCAGACAGAGATGAACTCGGGGTTCAGGTTGGTGCCCAGGATGGGCATGAACTCAGCTGGTGGGGAGACGGAAGAGTGCTGAGCTGGGGGGACCAGCCAAGGGGGGGCCCCCGGGCCTGGCGGCGCAGACCCCATCAGACAGTACGAATACGTCCCAATTTGGTCACTGTTCTCCCAAGGGCATTTCTCCATCACTTGGGGCCAGGGCTGGGGGCACGGGGTGCCAAGACAGCTGACCTACCGATGCAGGGCTTGACGTGGATGAAGCAGGCTTTGGTGAGATCCCCCAGGAGGGCGAAGGAGCTCTGCCGGACCTCGGGCATGGAGTCCTGGGGGTCAGAGCAGGGTCGGTGAGGCAAGGCTCCCCTCCCCTCAGCCGGCGGGGGATCCCAAATGAATCCCTCAGGCCAGGCCACCATGGCCTGCCCTGTCTCCTCCCATCATGGAAGCCACAGGCCCCATCTGTGGGTCTGAGACTCGGGGTGCATGGACCCCAGGGCCTTGCTCACGGCACCACTACGGGGAGGGGCAGGGCTCAACTGCTGCCCGTCCGAGGGGAGACACCAGGGGTGTGCAGGTATATAAAGCCAGAGGGGCTCATGCTTTCCTCTTTCCTTCTTCTACTTTTGTTACTGTGAGTAACCTCTGTGCCCAACATGGGGTTCGAATGCACGACACCGGAGGTCAAGAGTCACCTGCTTCCCTGACAGAGCCAGCCAGGAGCCCCTCGTTTCTCTACCTTTCAATTTTCTACATCGTTAGCTTCCTCCGTGAGAGTTTACTTGTGTCTTCCTTGAATCACTTTTTAAAATAAAGTACAAGTTTTTTTTCCCCCCCTACGGGTTCCTTTCTCCTGATGCCCGCCGGGCACACATGGGGGCCTCGAGTCGCCCTGGGGTGGCCCGCGCAGGCCATCGGATGTCCCCACTGTCCGGCCCGAGCCTCGCGGGCGCCCCCACCTGCATGCACTGGAAGAGCAGCGTCATGATGTTGCTGCGGGCCACCAGCTGCTCCACGTGGCCGCCCAGGCCCTCGGCCAGGCCGCTCAGCAGGTCCAGCGCCACGATCATGAAGTCCTTGTCGGGGGCCTCATACTGCTCAGGGTGCTGGGTGTACATCTGGGCACAGAGGGGGCAGGCAGGTGAGGGGAGCAGGCGGTGGGCGGGGGCGGCCGCAGAGGAATGGGTGGCGGGGCAGGGGCGGTGAGATGCTCACCATGGCCTGGGCCAGCGTCTTCTGCACCAGGGTGACGCAGCGCTGGTAGACTGGCTCACAGTAAGGCAGGAAGCCGCTCTGCAGGGCGGTGGCCACCGAGGACAGGCACTGGTGGGGCGGAAGGCGGGGGAGGTGAAGTCGGGAATGGTGGGAGCAGGGTGGGGGGGGAGAGGGCCTGGGGCCCACACACCTCCAGCAGGGGGAAGAGGTCCTTGTCTTCGTCCTTGAGCTCGTTCCACTTCTGGATGAGCGGAGGCATCAGCTTCTGGATGTATTCCTGTAGAGGGAGCGGGAAGTTGGGGCTCCCAGCGTGGAGGTGGGAGCCTGGAACCCGCAGGGCTGCTTGTGACCCGGAGGTGCCTGAGTGATGAGGGCTGGGCTCCCCGCTGTGACTCATGGGGCCCTCCAGGCCCCTGTCATCCAGCTGGACCTGCGGGCCCTTTCTGTCCATTCCCTTCTCACCCCACCCCCTCAGAGCCAGGGTCAGCACCCCCTGGATCCCGCAGGCCCCTGAGCATCCCCAGCGCAGCACTTACCACGCTGTCTCATAACCATTCCCCTGCAAGACTGGGAGCAAGGTGAGGGCGGGGGCTGTGTACCTAGTGTGCGACACAGGGTCACTGCCAGGTCCCTGGACACCGAGGGGAGCGAGAACCAAGAGCGGGCGACGCCGCGGGGCCTCACCGGCTGGTTGAGGTGGTGGCCCACAGAGTCGGCCAGGGTGCCGATGGCGTCGTAGAGGATGAGCAGGTTCTTGTGCTGGTACTTGCCGAAGGCGAAGACGAGGGTGTCCAGGATGTAGCTGAGGTAGGGCACCAGCTCTGTGCAGGCCTCCTCCTCCAGGGTGGCGAAGGCACTGGAGTGAGGAAGGGGCTCAGCGCGCGGCCGCAGGTGGGGCCGGGCCCTGGGGCGAGGCTGTGGGGAGGGCCAGCGCTTGCTCGGGATCAGCCAGTACGAATACTCAAGAAATCAGCGGGAGGTCAAGGAGTCCTGAGTGTCATCACTTCCCAGAAGGCAGCCGGCAGGGGGTGGGGGGGGGTGGGGGGGGTCCGGGGGCCAGGGCTTGGGGGTCACCTGCAGGCCGCCTCCTGCACCCTCTTGTTGCCGTCCAGGATGCGCTTGAGCAGCTCCGTCATCAGAGGCTTGAGGTGCATGTCGGGTGGCTGGCTGACCACCCAGTGGGCATAGCGGCTCAGCGTCCAGCAGGCGATGGAGCGGACCAGGGCCTTCTTGTCCGACAGGCACTGAATGAGGTGCGGGATCAGCTCGGGCAGGTAGGGCACCATGCCCTGCATGCAGCCTGCAAGCGGCACAAGGGCAAGCCTGAGCCCCGAGCCAGCCCTCTGCGGAGGGGTCAGTGGCACCTGCCGCAGGGGTCACCGAGGCTGGGAGGTTAAACCGCAGACACGGCGGCTCAGTCATAGAACCGGCGAAAGGCAGGGCCGGGATGTGAAGCAGCGTGGGGACAAGACTTTCCACTCCACTGCCTCCACCCCGTCATAGCCACTCGTTAATTCACAGATGGCCGGGCAGCAGCAGTGACCAAAATAGATGGAAAGTACTTTTCCTTTTTCTACTCAGCGGGGGGCTCGAACTCACGACCCCAAGATCAAGAGTTACACGCTCCACCAACTAAGCCAGCCAGGCGCCCCAAGTGCTTTTGTTTTTGAAACATTTCTTGGGTCTTTGTGCTTTTTCTGTTTTCCATCTTTAAGAAGAAAAAAAAAGCACGAACAGATTTCTTGTTTAAAGAACACAAATAATAGCAAGCCATCTAATAATCCAAAACCCAGGAACTATATACTCTAAATCTTTTTCCATTAAAAGCTAAAATACCTAATGTAACCTATTTTAAAAAAATTTTTTACATTTGTTTATTTTTCAGAGACACAGAGAGAAAGAACACAAGTGAGAGGGGGCAGAGAGAGAGGGAGACACAGAATCTGAAGCAAGCTCCAGGCTGTGAGCCATCAGCACAGAGCCCTATGTGGGGCTCGAAGTCATGAACCACGAGATAATGACCTGAGCCGAAGCCGGACAATTAACCGAATGAGCCCCCCAGGAGGCGTGCCTAACATTATTAATACGCGTTCAGGTACTAACATAACATACGTTGCACTGGTTACATGAGAAAATCTTTTCTCAAATAAATTTTAAAAGCTTTCCAGGGGGAGGGCTCCTGTTCCCTGTGGTATCAGAACTTTTGATGACATGCCTGGATGCTGAGGTGGTCACGAGTGACACCTGTGACTCAAGTGGTACATCCCATCGGGACGCAGGGAGCGAGAAAGTTGCGAACAGGGCAGAGGTCTGCGTAAACGCCGCCAGTGCACACTTCTGTTGTCACAGGCCGGCCTCGGAGCTGGTAGCAGGCCCGAGGCCCAGCTGCACCCCGGCTGACTAGGGCAAGGGTGCAAATCTCTCTGCGCCCCAGTTTCATCTCCGCGCCCCACCTCGTCAGGCTTGTGCTGAGCCTGGGGGACCAGGCTGCCCGCCGCGGGGCAAGCACACGGCCTGTCACTGCTGTGACTATAACCGTGCTGACGACCTCACAGAACTGCCATCTGTGAGAATTAAAGGGAGGGCTTGCATTTTGGGGTCCGGAGGTTCCATTCAGGCCCACAGGCTGCGGGGAAGATTCCAGTCTGAGCCGTTGAGGCCACAACCCCGACACGGCGCTGCCTGGGCCGGCCCCCTTCGGTCCCACAGCCGCACGGGGCTCAGAGGTCAGGCCCCCCACCAGGCCGGCGGGGCACTCACCCTCCGCGATGGCACCCAGCACCAGGATGCCTGACTCCTTGACCACCCACTCGGGGTGGAAAAGGAGACCCTTGAGCAGGGGGAGTAGGTGTGGCAGCAGCTCCTCCCGGAAGACGTTGGCCAGGACGTCCAGTGCAGCTGCCGAGCACTTCCCTGAGACGGGGGTGGACAAGAGGGGGTGGGTGGCAGAATCAGGGAGGCTCTCGGGGCAGGTGGCCAGCCTCCCAGCCTGCACGCCCAGGATCAGAGCTCATGATTCGAGTTGTCGCGATCTGCTCTGAGTAGGCCTCTCACCACCTCCCGGGAAGCAGCCCCCAGGCTCTCTGGCCTCTGGCCCCCCGGCCCGCAGCCCCCCAGGCCAGGCCACGCACTCAGATTCCAGTCAGACAAAGCATCGTCATCGTCATCATCCTCTGCATCCTCTGAGCCATCAGGCCGCTCGGCCTCATGGGGCAGCGTCACTGTGCGTGACTTATGGAAACGTGGCTTGATGTCCTGCTCGCTGTCGGGGACGGCCTCGTCCTCTTCCACGTCCCCCTGTGGGGCCAGACAGGTCATCACTAAGCACCACCGGGGGTGCCAGGGCCCCCGCCCTCACCTGCCTGTTCATGCCCGGCGGTTGGCCCTGACTGACCTTGAGCAAAATGATGTCGATTTCGGAGTACTTCATCCCGTTTACCAGGATGGGGATCAACCTGTGGGGACAGAGGCTATTCATCGGAATGGGACGCAGGGGTCCCCAGAGGGCTCACAGCCTGGGCAACACAGAAGCAGCCAAGGAGCCAAGGGGCAGGGTATGGGAACGTAGGGCTACGATCGCCACCTAGCCTCAGCCACGGTGACTGGGACAGAGCTGACGCCACTCCCGGCTCCCTACGAGGGCTCCTGACCCAGACCTGGTCACTCAGTGAATTCCAGGCCCCTGAATACGCCAGAAAAGCTGCAAACAGTGGCCGCTCCCTAGCATGCTGTCAGGCAAGACCACGTGGCCCCCGCCGGGATGGGCCAGGTTAGAGAAACTGACAGGCAGGGCGGCCAGGCCCCCTCAGCTGGCGCCCACGCACCTCAGGGTCGGGAAACTTTGATTCATGACCCCGGGACAGACAAGTGATCCGAGTTGGTCAAGGAGCCCTAGGACTTTTTGCTGGAGATACTGGTTGAGAGAATTTCCTTATTCTGAGCTTCCTAAGCTTGAAGGCAGCAGAAGGCCACAGCACTACCGTGAGGGAAGGTCGTGCCGGAGGACAAAGCCAACACAGAGGGAGTAGGTCTGAGACTACACAGATGTCTTTTACACCCTTTGGGCACCTGGATCCAGCTATGCCTGCAGCCTTTGCTGACTTTTCCTTTCTTTCACCTATAACTTACCGCGATTTTTAAGTCATTAGGAACTGTCTTCTTATCGCTTGCTGCACAGAAACAAGCGGGGACGGAAAGCAAGCTGAGACGGGGGAACACAGGCGGAGGCCAACGCAGGTTATAACCCGAGGGGAGGCAGAGCGCAGCGAGGGGTGGGGGCCGCGGTGGGAGAGAGGATGGCAGGAGCACTCACTGGACCAGGTGGGAGGCCAGGACTTCCTTGCAGATGGGCTGCTCGGCCAGCGTCAGCCAGAACTCACAGGCCTCCAGGGCCACGTTCTCATCGTGGTCCTGGGTCCTCTGCAGCATGTACTAGGGCGGGGCAGGAGAAGGGGTGAGGCTAAGGCCTGGCCCGGCCTGGCGCGACGGCCCCCCCTCTCCACCCCCCCATCCCCGGCCCGCCTCGGCTGTGCACACCTGGATAATGCTGTGCATGTGTGGGATGAGCCTATCGATCCGCACTTCTAGCAGCATCACCAGGGCCCGGCACACGTTCTTCCGCACCTCAGGGTCATCGTCCACGGCCAGGGCGAACAGGTGCTGCAGGGAGGGTGGGGTCAGCTGCAGCCGGGCCACTGCCCCTTGCCCTGCTCACCCGCGGCCCGGCAGCCCACCTCGATGAAGGTGTCGATGTTGTCCATCAGCGCCTGGGCCCGGTCCATGATGAACTGGTTCACGCAGGCTATGGCATGAGACCTGGGGGTGGGGGGGGACACACAGGGGTCAGCCCCACACCCCCTTCCGCCCCCCCACCCCAGGGAAGCCACACCCACCGGATCTTTGGGCTGCAGTGCTTGAAGAACTGTAAGAACTTGGGGATCATGATGTTGAGGGGCCTGTTGAGGGCATCGCTGTCCAGGAGCTCCGAGGAGTCTTCGCAGATCTTCTGCAGGGCTCCGAAGGCCCCCTGGGTGGGGTGGGGCGGGCAGACGGACATGAACCCCAGTCTGGTTCCCCCGCTCCAGCCCAGGCAGGCCCGCAACGGGTCCCCTACCTCACAAGTATTGTAATCCTCCGAGTTGAGCAGGTTGCACAGCTGGGGCAGCAGCTCGGGCCACATCTGCAGCTCGCCCTTGGAAGCGATGGTGGTGATCAGAATGCCTGGGGCAGCCGGGAAAGGACGCCGCCTCAGGCTGGGTGCCGGCCTGCTGTGTACTCACTCTGCCAGCTCATAGGCTCTCTGAGCGCGGTCCCCCATCCCCCGGAAGCCCTACCTTAAGCCCGCCGTAAGCACGCCATGGTCCCAGGGAAGCAGCACAGAGCTGAACACAAAACCCCCACCCTTGGGAGCGGACTGCCCAGTGAGAGAGGCTCCGAGGTAAAAAAATAAATCAGCAAAAGACCTGGGAGGCTAGATGCCAAAAGCTAAGGGGGAAATAAAGCAGAGAAGATGGCTGGCAGGGGCTGAGAGTGAGGGAAGCAAATTTTTTTAATGTTTCTTTTTTCTATAAAGCTTATTTATTTTGTTAGTGGCTCTAAACCCATTGCAGGGCTTGAATTTACAACTCCGAGATCAAGACTCACATGATCTTCTGATGGACCCAGCCAGGCGTCCCAAGGGCAGCAATTTAAAAAATGGGTGGCCTCACCCAGGTGGTGCTTAGCTATGTGAGTAAAGACCTGAAGTTGAGGGGGAAGCTATCCTACTCCCTGGGGAAAGGGCATCCCAGGCAGAGGGACCGGCAGGTGCAAATGCCTGGGGTCGAGAGCGGGCGAGGTGTGCACAAAGATGGGTGAGGAGGCAGAAGGGCTGAGCAGGGGGGCGTGAGGGGGGCGAACAGGAGGAGGCGAGGGCTGAAAGGTGACAGAGGCAGGTTGTGCAGGACCGTGCGGCCTTGGGGAGGCCTTGCACTGCTGATTCGAAACCCAAGAGTGAAGTGCAATACTCAAACGTAGTGCAGGGCAGTGCTGAGATGCGATTTAAAGCCAGGAGGTGGCAGTGTCTCCCCAGGAGAGGGAAGCTGTCCCTGCCATCACTGTAGATGACCATGGCTCCTGCTTCTGCTGGGAAAGGGGTTACCTGATTTGAGAGTGCAGTCTCAGCCCTGTCCCTATCTGTGCGAACTTGGCCACGTGTCCTATTCTCTCTGTGGCTCAATGCAGGGCAAAAAAACCCACACCAGCCCCTAGGGCTGCTAGAAGCTTCAACGCCTTAATTCAAACACTTAGAGCAGAACCTGGCTATCTAGGGAACTCGGGAGGTCCAGATCCTTCTACTGGCCTCACAGTGGGTGTCGCCAGGGCTAAGGGTCTCTTAACAGATGAAGCAGGCCCCAAGACCAGCACCTCTAGCAGTCCCAGTATCTAACTCAAACTTTTTACTCTTCTTGTCTTTCTTGCATGTTTTTAAGGTTCCCTTCTCTTTATGGCAAACAAATGTCTTTTCATTTAAAAGCTATATACGACTTTAGGGCGGGCCTGGGTGGCTCTGTTAGTTCAGCGTCCAACTTCGGCTCAGGTCATCTCACAGTTCGTGAGTTCGAGCCCTGCGTCGGGCTCTGTGCTATCAGCATGGAGATCCCTTCGGATCCTCTGTCCTTCTCCCTCTCTCTCTCTCTCAAACTAAACAAATACACTTAAAAAAAAAAAAAAAGCTAAGGGCGCCCAGGTGGCTCAGTCAGGTTAAGCGTCTGACTTGGGCTCAGGTCATGATCTCACGGTTCGTGGGTTTGAGCCTCGCATGGAGCTCTGTGCTGACCCTCCCCTGCTCTCGCTGTCTCTCTCTCTCTCTCTCTCTCTCTCTCAGAAATAGATAAAACATTAAAAAAAAGTTTTTAATTGAAAAAAAGCTATACAGAACATTCTTTTTTTTTTTAATTTTTTTTTTTAATGTTTTTTTTTATTTATTTCTAGGAGACAGAGAGAGACAGCGTGAGCAGGGGAGGGTCAGAGAGAGAGGGAGTCACAGACTGAAACAGGCTCCAGGCTCTGAGCTGGCAGTCAGCACAGAGCCTGACGCGGGGCTCGAACCCACGAACCGCGAGATCATGACCCAAGCGAAAGTCGGACGCTTAACCGACTAAGCCACCCAGGCGCCCCTATTCTTTTTTTTTTTTTAATATTTTTATTTATTTCTAGGAAAGAGAGAGAGAGAGAGACAGCGTGAGCAGGGGAGGGTCAGAGAGAGAGGGAGACACACAGACTGAAACAGAATCCAGGCTCCGAGCTGGCAGTCAGCACAGAGCCCGACACGGGGCTCGAACCCACGAACCGCGAGATCATGACCTAAGTGAAAGTCGGACGCTTAACCGACTAAGCCACCCAGGCGCCCCCAGAACATTCTTCTAAAAGCAACATTAAAAAGTTGGCAATAATTTAAAGAATAAAAACACAAGTCCGTTGGGGTTCAACTACATCTCAGTAAAGGTAGGGGGTGGGGGAAAGCAGGTCAGTAACAAAGTGTTGGGTTGGTGTTTATCAGTAGTGAAGAGGCTTGAGGCAAAACAGCTGGAGAATTCTTCGTCGTTCTCGCCTTAACTCATCGGGCAGCCCTCCGAGAGTCAGGAAGGCTCCAACACAAAACTAACTCCTGTGTCATCTCGGTACTGGGGACAAATAGCTGAAGACGACACATGACAGGGAACCCTCGGGTTCTAACATGCTATGGCCTCTGGGCCTAGACACTGAGCCATGGCCTCCCAAGAAGGAATGGCAACTTCAGGAGGGAGCGGTTCAGAGCACAGACCTGCCCTGGCCACTTCTGAGCTCTGCTACTCACCAGGCGAGTCCCTTAACATCTCTGGGCCTCAGTTTCCTCATCTGCAAAACGGCAACAGCAAGAGTACTACCAACCACGGCGCCGGAGCATTCACCGGACTGACACCCTTAACGGGCCGATTGCCACCACCCGCTCTCACCTATGGTGGCTCGGATAAGTGAGGAGGCATCGCCAATGTTGTTGAGACACTCCTGTTTGATGAAGTCGGCCACGGGTGGCGGAAAACTCTGGTAATGGGCCTTCACGTTGTTCTTGAGGATGAGACCGCTGAGGGACCGAGTCGGCTCATCTGGGGAAAGAGGGCCGAGGGTCAGGGGAGCACAGGGGAGGCGGTGGGGTCGGGCTGCAGTGGAGGGGCACTGAGGGCATACCTTCCGACTTGAGTCTGGTCAGGACAAAGATCAGGTAGTTGTTGAAGTCGGGAAACTGGTTCAGTTGTTTGAGTTTCTGCCAGGCTGTTAAGGGCCTTGGGAGACAAGGGCCTTCCCCCGGGGTGGGTCCCCTTACTCTCCTGTGGCTGAAAGTCCCTCTGACCCCTGGGATGAGGGGACAAGCTCCTCAACCTCCACGCCAGAACACAGCGCTTCAGCCATATCAAACTCCTCCAGGTGCCAGCAGAGGTGGGGGAGAAGGGGCGCATGGCTGAGCTTTCCACCCACTCTGGGAGACCTAGCCCGGGCAGGAGAGGGTTGGCGGACCCTCTGTCTGAAGGCGGCACCTGCTACTCGGTCCTGCGCATGACCAGTTCCATGTTGCCTGCTTTTTTTTTAAAAAAAAAAAAAAAAAAAAAAAGGAAGCCATGTTTTCAAGTGACACTTGCTGATGACTGAACTATCTTCAACTTTAAGTTGTAGTATTTCAAGCACTGATGGAAGAAAACTAACCTTGATTGTGAAACTAAACAAAAACTAAGTGCCGGTGAAAGGTGTTCCTCCCCCTCCCTCCTCCCAGGGCCACATTTTCTCTAGAAATGGGACCCAAGAATTCTGGTCCCTAATTCTCTGCCGATTCTAGCAGAGTCCGGGAATTAGGGAGGCAGTCGGCCCCTTCCTCTGGCCTTCAGGGGCTGCGGAGGTCTGCCCAGTTCCCCCTCGGCCAGGAAGGAAGGAAGGAAGGAAGGATACGTCCTGCACGATGCGCTGCGTGGCTGTGTTTGGCGACTGCGAGTCTTTGAGCAGCTGCAAGACCTGCTGCAGGCCCTGCTCATCTGGCTGCCAGTCCATGGCGCAAGGTGAGCTGCGGGGGTAGGGGCCGGGGTCAGCGCTGGGCTCCAGGGGCCCCGTGTGAGACCCGGGCTGAGCCGCCGTGGAGGTCGCTGCAGCGGCAGCACGACGGGGACGCCCTGGGCGGACGGGCGGGGGTCGCCGATCCACACCAGCCCCCCAGCTGCGCCATCCCCGTCCGCGCAGTATGGGGCTAGGGAGCGCAGGCGAGGCGATATGGAAGCGGGCCACGGGAGGCGGTGGCGGGGCCCGGCGGGTCCTCATCAGGCCCAGCGCGGAGCCTCCATCCCAGGGCGGCCCGTGCCGCCTCTGACGGCTGCGGGCCCTATGGCTTCCGCCAGCCTCACAGCCGTTAGGCAAGGCCCCAGCCACCTCTCCATCCAGCGGCCCTGCTCCAGACCGCGACAGCGCCCCGGCCCCCGTGGTCTCCCGGGTCCAGGCACGGTCCCCAAAGAACCCTCTTCTTCCGAAATCCAGCCCTCACGCTCCGCCAGATCCCAGCCGCCTCCTCCGCCTCGGTCTGGTCCCTAAGCCTCCCCCGATGCACGGTCCCAAGGTGCTCCAATCGTCCCGACCCCTGCCACCTCCTCTAATCCGTTCCTCCAAACTGAGCTTGGTGCCTGACGCTGTTCTTTTTGGCCCAGCCAGACCCCATCCATAGGTTCCCCTTAATCGGGCCTGAAGCGATCCCCAGATAGATCCGAGTTGCCTCTCGGAAAGAGAGCCAGCCAAGCCCGCCCACCCCACGAAAGATGACCCCTGGACGGGTCCCCGTCGCTTTCCCCAATCAGGTCTGGCCAAGTCTCTCCCCCCTCCCGCCCCCTGCCCCAGTCAGCATTAACTCCTCCCGACGGATCTCTGCTGTTTCCCCCAATCAAGTTCGGCCAAACCCCTCACCACCTCAAGCCGGAAACCCACTTCGTCCGATCTCTGCAGCTTCCCCCAGTTAGGCCTGCCCGCGAACACCGCCCGGAGCATTCCCCCCAACGGATCCTAGCGACGCCTCGAAGTCAGACCCAGCAAAGCCCTCTAGAACGAAGTCTGACGCCCCTCCCTGTCAGGATCCAAGAAGACCCCCAACTTTTCACTGAGGCCTCCCCCAACCAGACTCAGCCAAAGCCCCATCAAAATAGCCCCCCCCACACACCCGATCCTCACGATGTTCCCCCAATCAGGCCCTAAGCAGTCCCCAGACGCTTCCCCCAGATCCCCTCCAGCCCGACCCCAGGCGCCCCACTGGCCCGATTCTAGAGGCACCAGGGTCTGGCCGGGCTCCGAGGCCCCACCCCCTAAGCCCGGCTCGGTTTCCCCCTCCCCCGTCCCGGCCCGTTCTCGTTGCCTCGCGAATGGGGCCCAAACCAGGTTCTCGGCCTTTCCCAGTCAGGCGCGGCCCCGACGGCCGGGCCGCGCGCGGCGCAGACCCGGACCCCGGCGGGGGTCAACGCAAGCCCGGGCCGAGCCCGTCGAGCTTCGGGTAAGGCCCACTTACCAGGCCCCGGGTGGCAGCAGCAGCGCCTTGCGCTGCGGCTTCTCCTGAGACTCGCGCGGAAGGAGGGAGCCAAAGAGAGGGAATTAAAAAAAAAAAAAAAAAAAAAAAAAAAAAAAAATGAAAGTAAAAAAAAAAAAAAAAAAAAAAAAAACCCAGAAAAAAAAAACGCGGCCGTGGATGAGCCGCGGCGGCTTCCGTACACCGTTCAAACTGGCCCGGCTGGACCAATGGGGAGAGGCAACCGTAACACGTGGCCCGGCTCCGGGGAGAACGGGCCCCGCCGAGACCGGGTCACGTGACCAGAGAGTTGGCGGCTTTCCTGGCCCCTCTGGCCGTTCGGTCTTCCCAGCGTCTCGTTTTCTCAGCGTCTCTCACACCCGCCTGACAGCGGCTCTTTGCTGGGAGCGGAGTTTGGTGGCGCGTGGGGACTTTCGACGTGCGGTGGACCCGGCAACCTCTCGGCCACAGCCAGTTTCGTCTGCCCCCTGACCCCCCCACCCAGAAATTGAAATGTGCCTTTCTCCTCGCATCCCGAGGGTACCTGGGAGGAGCACAGTATGTGCCCTCATGGAAAGACCCGGAGAAGACTTGGTCTAGGTTAGACTTTACACCCCAGAGACAAAGGAAGGAAAGCGGGACAAAGGGAGCACCCTCGGCTGCGTTCCTGAAGAAGACTCTGCCACATTTTGTATTATTTGCTTTCCAGTACTACTTCATACTTTTCATAAGGATCTGAGAAAAACCCACATGGATATGAAATTAATAAACCCGGAAGCAAAAGCCCTAATCGCTTTCCCTACCTGAGGTTGAATAGAGTGAAACAGCCCAGGAACTTTAGGCAAGGGCAGGGTCATGATGAAAGGCATCTTCGTAATCCTTTTGCCATCTGAGGACAAAGTAGGACACCTCTTTTCTTTAAAGAGCTGAGCAGCACAGTAGGGAGGAGTTGGAGATCCTGGGGTGCCTCAGTTTCCCTCCTCCTAGCCAGGCTAATAACAAGGTGGGCAACCTCCTGCCGCTTGGAGTCTTAGTTTCGCCAGTTGTCAAACGGGTATAAGAAGAGTTTGCTGGGTTAGAGATCAAGTTAAGCATTACCAGGCCTGCCGTAAACTGTTCTTTAAAAACTTGGCTTTTACCCGGAGACCTCAAGGCCTTCCTTTCACTGTATTCAGCCACACCCTAAGCCAATATTTACTGAATTTACTTAATCAACTAGGCCTCTAATCCCAAAGAACAACCCAGCACTGCCCTGAAGAACTTTGTGGCTTCAGAGGAGGCAGGTCAATATCTGCCCCAGCCTGGAGGAAGGAGACACGCTTCTCAGCCCACTTTCCATTAGCAAAGTCAGCCCCCCTCCGTTCATACATGAAAAAAGGTACCTAAGACCTCTCCACTGGGGCCTCCCGGGCTTAGGAAGGATCTGTTGGCGCCGATCGCTACTCAGTCGTGGAAAATTCCCTACAGGAGCAACCGGGTTTCCCACCTTTGCTCTACGGACACCCGGCTGGAGAGACACGTGCAGAAAGCCGCCGCCTACGCATGCGCATTGGCCTCCCCTCGCTTGCCCCTGGCCCCCAGAACTACAAATCCCGTCTCACCAGGCGCCCGCGTTGCCGCGCTTACGGACTCTGGCTGTGACTCAAAATCCGGGGGTCTGGAAACCACCCCCCCTCCGGAGGTGGGCATTGAGAAGAAAGGAAGAGTGACATTGAGGGGCTGGGACTGGAAGTTCAGGAGCGGGTGCAAGAGTTTTCTGCTCAGGGTTGGGGGTCGCCCCAGATAAGGGTCAAGTGGGGAGAGCGTTGGAGATGAGCGAGAAAATTTCATGCACACCTTCTCCTTTTAATATGTCAGGTTCAAAAACAAAATCAAAATAAGTCAAATTTCTATTGGTCCTGCGCCAAGCCTTGGGGGAGAGGAGAGTCGGGCAGAATAAAGTGACCCGTGCTGCTTTTGTGGTCCAAGGTATTGGCCCTGTGTGATCGTGGAAGTCTTTCTTCCTCTCCCCCATCTAGCGGATTTGAGTAGTGAATCCAGGCTTTTCCCCTCCTTTTTTTTTTTTTTTTTTAAGTAGGCTCCGTGCCCAATGTGGAGCTTGAACTAACAATCCTAAAATCAAGAGTCACACACTGTACGGAATAAGCCAGTCAGGTGCCCCCATTTCACTATTTCTTAAGCACCTACTCCTCTGCTACTGGGTGTCAGGCAATTTCCTAATGTAATTCTCACAACAGCCCTGTACACAGCAAACTTACTTCAACTAAAAACAATGCAGAAAAGAAACTCAAGGAGCTGGTACTCAACTGTTTATCCTAAATGGGAGACAAAGGCCTCTCTGTTTACAACAGTGTCTCTGAGCATCTCTTCACACTGCACTCACGTTTAAAGGTCACTACACGTCCCCCAACCCAAGCCCATTGCTTCACGCAGAAAAATAACGACAGCTGTTTCAAATAATATCAGGGTTAATGTCTATTTCATCAGTATTGACCTTACTTTTTTTTTTAATGTTTATTTATTTTTGAGAGAGGGAAACAGAGCGTGAGTGGGGGAGAGACAAAGAGAGAGGGAGAGACAGAATCCAAAGCAGGCTCCATGCTCTGAGCTGTCAGCACAGAGTCTGACATGGGTCCAGAACCCATGAACCGCAAGATCATGACCTAACCTGAAGGACACTTAACCAACTGAGCCACCCAGGTACCCTTGCCCTTACTTTAGAACTTGACTCTGGAGCGCCTGGGTGCTGAGATCTGTTAAGCGACAGACTTGTGATCTCAGCTCAGGTCATGATCTCACAGTTGGTGAGTTCAAGCCCTGCACTGGGCTCTGCACTGATGGTGTGGATCCTGCTTGGGATTCTGTCTCCCCTCTCTGCCCTTCCCCGGCTTGTGCACGCTCTCTCTCTCTCTCTCTCTCAAAATAAACAAATTTAAAAAAAGAAAAAGACCTTGGCGCTGCAGATGCTTCTGTATTTTGCCCCTATTTTATAGATTTAGAGCTTGAACCATAGAAAGGCTAAATGACTTACCCAAGATCGCACAACTAACAGGCATCAGAATAGTTTGAAGCCACGGCCGTGTGACTCACCAAACCCTGAATTTGATTCTCCTTCCCTTTCAGCTTTTCCCCAGGTCAGGACTGGTGAATGCAGTGAAGGGGGCTGCTGGGACTCCATCAGCTCCTCCTGCCTCCTGACACTCCAGAAAAGAGGCTGAGCTGCTGCAGGGGCGACCTACTTCTCCCACTGCGTTTCTTTTTAAAGATCCAGCGGCTGCTGGTGCCTTTGAGGGAGGAGGTAAGGGTGGCACCGTTGGTTTCCTATGTCCCCTCCCCCGACACTACATCCCCAAGGTTAAAGTTACACCTGGACCAGCTCACCATCCCCAAAGTAGGAGAAAGAGACCTTTGAGCCAATGTGGAAGATAAACGAGACAAGCCTTGCGGGGTGTTAGCAGGAAGTGAGAGGGGCAGGCCTCCTGGTCCAAAGCTCTTCTCTTTGACAAACCTGGGTGTCCTTGGACCTACTGTTCGTTTGGCCTCGAACACTTCCGAGGATCTTCACTGCTTTCAGAATCTGGGGCAAATGTTACCTTCTCGCGGGGCCATCTCTGACCAGCTTAAACTTCCCAGCTTTCCCACACTCATCTCTGTCCCCCTTTCGCACATACCCCCCCCCAACCATAGAATGTATAACCTTCAGATGTGTTCTGTATTCTATGTTGTTCCTCGTTTCCTCCTCTAGAGCGTTAGCTCCACTAAAACAAGTTTGCCTATCTGGGTGCTCGGTATTTGGAAGGTCCACCCCATCCCCCACGGGCTGGATCTGTCGGTCTGAGGCCAGGTGGGAGCCACCTCAGCCCTCCTCCCTCAGCCTACCCAGATCCCAGGCACCAGGTGGCCATCGTGACCCGCCATGATCTTCCAAGTCGCGGTCCTCCTGATGGAAGGGGGATGGGAGCCTGAATCTGGGATGGGCAGCAGTGCCAGCTGCTCGTCATTCCTGCACGGGGAAGGCCCAGGAGGTGGGCCCATGCCTCAGGGGCCCCAGCTGTCACTCCAGCTCTAGGGAGGCTTGAGAAAGGATCATGGGGAAGCAGGGGCATCTTAAAGCCTTTGTGGGTTCAGTGGAGAACAGGCAGCCAGGTGGCTTTCAGGAGGGCACAGAAATACAAGGAGCACTAATGGACACTAGGGGTCAGGCTTCCTCTAGGCCACTCCATCCCGACATGTCAACAGTCATGCTCTGCAAGGTGGCATTTGTGCTCCTGATAGTATACACAGGAGGGTGAGGTCGACCCAGCCTCCTGGGGAGGGCCGCAAGTATCTGGCAGGACAGATCACCCCCACCAGAATCCAGAACCCAGCCCCACTCACCTCCTCAGCCTCCAACCCTCCACCTCCTCCCCTCCCCCAATCACGGCCCAGCCTCATCTCCAGGTTCTGCCCCAGGGCCCTCTTCACTTTGTTGTCCACACAGAAGCCAGGGGGTCCTATTAAGATAGAAAACAACCTGTGGCTCCTGGGCTAATACTGCCGGCCCCCCCACCCCCCATGTTCAAGGCTTCTTCTAAGAATCGAGTCCCAAATCCTGACCCTGGCACACAAGGCTCTGTATATAACCCACACACCCTCCTCACTGCAGGCTCAGTCATATGGGCCACCTGGAAGCTCCTCGCAAAAGCCACATGTTCTCCCACCTGTTTTCACAGTGGCTGCTCCCTCACTTCCCTCAGGACGCAGATCAGATGTCAAGGGAAAAACAGACACCCTCCCCCTTGCCTCTACCCTGCACCTCTTCCCAGTCACCTCCCAAAATGGCTTCCCCTTTTTGTCTGTGTCTGTTTCCTTCCAGAAGGGCAGGGAGTGTACATGGTGTGTTCTAGTCACTGCTGTGGCCTCAGGTCCCAGAAAACCCGGACGCACACAGTGGGCACTCATTAAGTGTCTGCTGAATGAACGACCTGACAGCTGTGCCCCGGCCACACCGGGCTAGGATACGACCCTGGACATGAGGAGCCACAGCGGGGGCTCTGTCAGGGGTGGGGGGAAATGGGTCCCAAGGAGAGTCCAGGCCAACAGGAAAGGACGCACTCCTGTCTCCCCCAGGCTCCCCAATATCCCCCTCCCCAGGCCAGACCCAGAACTAGGCCATTGTGTGTGTGTGTGGGGGGGGATGGGGGTTCTTAGGGTGCAGAGAACAAAGAAGGCAAACCAAGCACACAGTTCCGGCACTAAGTCAAGTTCTTTACTTCCCAGAAGTGATGGCTAAGAGGGTGGGGTGGGGGTGGGGAGGAAGACAGAAAGAGCCAGAGAGAGCGAGGAGGTAGGAGGAGAGAGGACAGTAAACCACTGTTCTATGAAGTCTCAGGAGGCAAGTGCTCAAGGTAAAAAAGAGTCCTGGAGAATCGTCCGCGGCTGCGGGAAGCATCTCGATTTCCTTCTGTGTAGAAGTCCTTGGGGAGGGGAAAGGCTGCCGCCGCTGCCGCTGCATTAAATAGTTATGTACATCGCAGAGAGTCCCGGGCCGTAGGCAGGCGGGGGAAGGGGGTCATTTCACCAGGGGCCGAGTTTTATCATCATCGCCGCACTGATGGGCTTTGTACTTTTTCACCTCTGCCATGTACTTGGCCCACGCATCACCTTTACTTGTTAATACCTGCGGGTGGGGGCACACAGGGGTTGCAAGGGGATACCGAGGAGGCCAGGAGCTGGGGTCAGGACTGTCCTGAGACAGCTGACACCCACCCTCCCCCACATCACCCTGAAGGTCCTGGGTTTGAGGTACAGAGCTGCAGACTCAAGTTATCTGGGGATCCTGTTGAAAGCCCTCCTCCCGCACCCACCATACTGGCCCAGGGCCCCCAGGGTGCTAGACAGGGAAGGAAAGGGGTCAGCCGCCAAGCACTGAGGTTGGAAGGGAAAGGCACGGTGGGTGCCCCCCGGTCGCCCCCCGCCCCCATTGCACTCAGCCCACTCACCTCATCCTCCGTCTTCTGCTTCTTGGCTACTATTCCCGTCTTGAGGGCTAGTTTGTTCCCGCCTCTGCGCTTGCCCACCTGGGTGAAGGGACAGAAGACTGCAACGGTTACAGGAGTCGGGCCCGCCCTTGGCGGCGCTGAGGCCCACTACACCTTCCTAGCCCGGCCCGGTGGCCCGGCCCGACGCCGCGCCCAGCTCCGCCAGCCGGCCGACCTGCGCAGCAATCAGAGAGGAGCACACGCGACTCTTAGCGCCTGCCCCGGGCCCGTGATGCCCTGGCAGTCCTGGGCCCCTGGGCAGCCCTCCCTGAAAGCGAGAAGAACCCCCACATCAGTGGGGACAGGCTGTCCTCACTCTCCATCCCGAAGCCTCCCCCCTCCCCTAGCAGGGACCACACGGTGAGCCGCGGCTCCCTTTGCTAAGCGCCCACTGTATGCTAAGCCCGGTGCCAAGCGCTTTGGGGATATCATCCTTCACTTTCACGGCTGCCCTAAGGTGAAGGTTACAACCATCCCCGTGTTACACATGAGGAAATATCTTTTAAGAAGGAGAGGGCCGTACCCTTGGTCGTGCTGGCAGCGAACAATGGAACCGGATTCAGGGTTAGATGGGTCCAAGTCACAGAGCAACATCCTTAACCACCAAGTGACACTGTCCCCCCTGCACCTAACCTGGCCTCTTTAAGAGCGCCCCTCGATGAAGAAATGGGAAAGGCAGTGACAGTCACTGCTGCTGTCACTCACAAAGGGGTATTCAGCTTCCACCTCTAGTTCTTACACAGACCCAGGCAGGAACCTAGGTCCTAACACTACCCCAACAGAAGTCTCACTCCAGATCTCCTCCTGGCCCTTCACCTGCTCCTACTGAGAGCACTTTCTGTGCCCACGTACTGCAACAGGCTTCACACATCTCCTCCCATCTCTACTCCTCAACCAGCCATCAAGTGACCTGTGCTGCTGGGACTATTCCCACGCGCTTTTAACAAGTGAAGAAACTGAGGCTCGGAGAGGTTAGATCCCTTGCCCAAAATCACACCGCTAGATCCAAAACTTGACCTCCGGTCTGTTACCCTCAAGCCAACGCTTTTCTCCACACCAAAGGGACCTCATCTCTGAACAAATGAATACCCAGGCTATGAATCAGCTGCTTGGTTTTCGTTCTTCTTTTTGTTGTTGTTATTAACGAAATTTGTCAGTAGATTTTTTTTTTTTTTTAAAGCAGGCTCTATGCCCAAGGTCGGGCTTGAACTCTAGACCCTGAGATCAAGAGTCCCCTGTTCTACCAACTGAGCCAGGGAGGAGCCCCCAGGGACTTGATCTCAGTATCAGAAACAAAGCAAGCTCAGAGTTGACCATCAATATAGTTGCCATTTATTTAGCCTACAGATTCTCAGTCTCACACTAGTGACATTTTGAGCTGGATCATTTTTGCCCGGGGAGGGGGGGAGTGTCTACCCTGTGCATTGTAGGATTTGAGCACATCTCTAGCCTCTACTCAGATGTCAACAGCATCCCTCCCCCAGTTCTGACAACCCAAAATTTCTCCAGACTGTCAAACTGTGGGGGTGGGGGATGGAGTGGGGTGGGGTGTTCATTCCCAACCGAGAATCACTGGTGGTTTAGCCCTTCCTATAAAACAAACCCGGCACTAACCTCTGGGATGGCCTCACTGAGGCCTCACCAGCGTTAGAAAATGCAATCATATCCATTTTTGCAAACAGGAAATTTAAGGATAGGCCAGTCCATATACTCCAGGAAGGCAACGATCTTGTCATGTTCAACACGGCACATCCAGCACCCAGCACAATGCTCAGCATAAGGTAAGGTGCTCAACAAATGGACACTGGGCGAATGAAACTCAGGGAAATGGAGCAAATTTCCTAAGGTCACACAGTAACCGCTCTGAGTCTCTAATCCCACAGCTTCGATTCCAGATTTGAATTTGCCCCCCGTCCCCATAGTCGAAGATGGTCTCATTATCCAAGTTCAAGTACCACTCAAATAGGAATCCCGATATCCTGTTTCCTCCTCCACCGAGCGCTGTTTCGAATGCAATTCCCTGGCTCCTGGCCCCCGCGGGCGGGCTCCGGGGGTCACCACCCCCGCCCCCAGACCTCTCGTCGAGAATCCAGGTTCCGGATCCCTAGCGGGCGACTCGGACAGCCCCCCTCATCTGGGCCGGAGGGTGCACCCGGATCCCGATCCCCCTTCTCGGGCCCCAATTCCCTCGGCCAAGGCACGCCCTGGCGCCCGCCCCCACCCCCGCGGCTCCTTACGAAGCTGAGCGTAGGGCCCGGGCCGCCCTTCCTCTTCAGATCCCCAGGGCCCGCGGCGGCGGCGGCAGCGGGCTGGTCGGGTCGCGGCGGGCCCGGGGGCGGCTCCTCCTGCCGCTGCCGCTGCTCCTCCTCCATCTTCCGCTTGAACAGCTCCAGGAAGCTGCCGTCGTTGGCGAACAAGTTCACACCGCCCGACACCGGGCTAGAACCCGCGCCCGACGCTTCCTCGTCTCCGCTCTCGGGCGACGTCCCGGGCCCAGACTCAGCCCATCGGCTTCCGACACCGCCGCCGCCCGCGGGGCCCGGCGCCTCCCGGCCCGGAGGCTCCGCCCGTCTCCCTCGGGCAGCCATTTTGTCGCCAGGTGCCGCGCAAAGGACTCCGGGAAGGCGGCTCCGGCCAGGCGCTTGGCGCCCGACTTGCCCCGTCCCAGGCAATGCATGCCGGGAAGAGCGGTCTGGCCCTCAAGCGTCCGCAGTGGGGGCGGAGTATGTGGGGCGGGGCAAATAAGGGGTAGGGACCAGACGCGACGAGCCCGCCCAGCCACGCGGATTTTTATAACCCAGCTAGGTTTGGGCAGGCGTTACGCATAGTCTCCCGGGGAATGGAGCCATTGTCTGGGACTGAGGCTGTATAGCAGGCTCTCCGGAGTGAAGTTCCCGCTTGAAACTGGGGCACATTAGCTTTCCGGGACCTAGAGCCCCTTCTGGCACCAAGGATAAGAGGGAAAAGACCCTATCCGACACTGTGTCCCCAACTGACACCTCGGAACCGAGGTCCCTAACTCGGTCTAGAAGACCTATCTAGCCTGACCCCCACCCCCGACTAGAAATGGGGGGGGTACCAATTTGGGTTGGGTACCTGCCTTAGATGGAGCTCTTCTTTGAGAATGGGAACACAGCTGGCTCCGTGGAGCTGGGGTCCCCATCTGAGAAGAAGGGTGTACGTTTTGGGCTGGAGTACTCAAATGAAGCTGCGAGTATTTCCAGGCTGTAGTCTATCTAAGGTTAAGAGTGTTCACCTGGGGCCCTGCTTGTATATCTGTCGAGGACAGAGGTTCAAACAGGGACTTCGAATCTCCCCTCCCAACACGGAGCAGAGTGCAAGAAGGTTTTTGGGAATGGGGTCCTTTCTGCGACGAGTGCAGTTGCAGGTCTGGTCCCTGCCCTGGCCCGGCCGGTACGGAGGCTCAGGGCGCACTGGACAAAGATCTGCGGACCCTGCCCACAACTAAAGTTCTCCCTCTGGCCCATTTGCAGTCCAGGGACTTGTCTTCAGCCAACTAATCGGTTCTTCTGTGATTGGTTTGCGTCAAGAGCCAGGTGGCTCACAGCCAATTGGATAACAGAGGAGACGAACCTGAGGCGATGTTGGGACCCAATTTGGAGACGAGGGAAAATGATCGACAGGAAGTTGAACCTATGGAGTCAAGGCCAGGGAGGACCTCAGCTCTAACTTCTTGGAGAGGGCCTGGACTGGGTGTTTGGCTGGTTGCTAAGGAGAGGTTGGCGGCTACCGGGACGAGAAAATGATTGGTGAAAATGAGAAAAAAGTGTAGCCAATGAAAGGAGAGCTGCGAGACCTGGGGTCCAATCAGTGAAGGGGAGTAGTGTGAAAGGTACCAATATGTCAATTCGGCAGGGGGGAGTCTTTGAAGAAACATAGACAAGAGGGCGGCGGAGTGAACCCTAGAAGCGGAAGACATTGGAAATACAACTTCTATTATCTTCTAAAAGTCAGGTTATGAGGAAATTAATCCAGGCTTCTAGACTTGATGGGTATGTGCTAGGGAATTTCCCCTGTAGGTTCTTTTCATGGTGCGCGCCGCTTGATCACGTGATCCCGTTCCAAGATGGCGGCAGGGGTGTCCGGGTGGGGGGTTGAGGCAGAGGAGTTCGAGGATGCGCCTGATGTGGAGCCGCTGGAGCCCACGCTTAGCAACATCATCGAACAGCGCAGCCTTAAGTGGATCTTTGTCGGGGGCAAGGGTGGCGTTGGCAAGACCACCTGCAGGTAAGGAACCTGCGGCGGGGGAAGAGAAGACGGGTGGGATGTACCACTAGGCGAAGGGGAGGGTCGGGACTGGCTCTTCCACTCCAAGCCGGGCAAGCGGGCTGGGCCGCCGTGTTCCGGATTGTACTCCAGAAGTTCCCTGGGGCAAATTGAAGTTACTGCCGAATGCAGGCCTGGGACTGAGTTGGACCCTCCCCGTTGGGGCTCAAGGGCAGAACCACACTGAACCCAGCGCACGGGAGCCAGGAGACTACTTAGGTGTCTTAATCAGCTGGACTGTACCAGAGTGAGCTCAGAGTAGGGGGAGGGACACCGGGGCGGACTAGCCAAGCCTGGTGAACCTTGCTACTCTGAGACCACGTGGGGGTAGAGGTGGTAGGCGGGAGGGGTCACGTGATTAGACTATACCCGTCAGCTGGGAGGAGGGGGAGGGGTCCCTGGGGCAAATTGTCCTGAACAAGTGGACTGAACCATCCTGAGTTTAGCGGGTAATGCAAGGGACCGCTTAGCTTAGTGTTTAGGGACGGGGCCCAGGGTCAACCTAGGCTAGCTGGACCGTGCCACTCTGTGCCAACGAAGAAGCAGGCATCAGGCCGGACCGACTCGAACAGCTGAACCTCACCACTGTAGCCGCCCAGAGGGGTCAGTGGGTGAAGTCTGAGAGGGTCCCTCTATGGGAATTAAGGCTTGATTCCGCCAGTTACCCATATTCTCCTCTCAAGGTCCCTGCTGCTCAGGGTCCCCTGCCCTTTGCAGACCTAGGGAGCAGAGCCTGACCCCTCACTCCCTGCCTTCTGACCTTTCCCTTGCCCAGCTGCAGCTTAGCAGTCCAGCTATCCAAGGGGAGGGAGAGTGTTCTGATCATCTCCACCGACCCAGCCCACAACATCTCCGATGCATTTGACCAGAAGTTCTCCAAGGTGCCTACCAAGGTCAAAGGCTATGACAACCTCTTCGCCATGGTGAGTGGAGCCGGGCTCAGCTCCCCACTCTGGCAAAGGCCCTTCAGCCCCTCTCGGTGAACACCCATCATCAGCTACCACGTCCTGCCCATTCTGTATCACGTCTCCAATTCCACCCCTTAACATACCCACTGGAGAATGAGTGGGGAATGTTTGCAGAACAAAAAGGAGGCCAGAGTGACCAGAGTTTAGTCACAACAAGGGGAGGAGAAAAGATGTTGGATAGATCATTCACAGACACAGGGTATAGAACCTTACCAGCCACTGGGAGCAGTTATGTTTGATTCCAAGTTTAATGGGAATGCTATTCGTTTTAAGCAGAGCAATGTCGTGGCCAAATCCATTTTTCTTTTTTTCTTTTTTTTTTTAGTTTTTTTTTTTTTTTTTAATTTATTTCTAGGAGAGAGAGAGAGAGAGACAGCGTGAGCAGGGGAGGGTCAGAGAGAGAGGGAGTCACAGACTCCGAAACAGGCTCCAGGCTGGCAGTCAGCACAGAGCCCGACGCGGGGCTCAAACCCACCAACCGCGAGATCATGACCTAAGCGAAAGTCAGACGCTTAACCGACTAAGCCACCCAGGCGCCCCTTTTTTAGTTTTTTTTTTTTAATGTTTATTCAGTTTTGAGAGAGAGCACGAGTGGGGGAGGCCCTGAGAGCAAGGGAGACTCCAAAGCAGGCTCCAGGCTCTGAGCTGGCTCTCAGCAAAGAGCCTGACGCGAGGCCTGAACCCACAAACCGTGAGATCATGACCTGAGCCGAAGTCGGATGGATGCTTAACCGACTGAGCTCCCCAGTCGCCCTTCCAAATGCATTTTTTCACAGAGCTCCCTGTGGCTACCATGCCGAGAATGGATTTTAAGTCAGGGATAGAAGCAAGGACGCTAACAAGGAGAGTGGGCCAGGGGTCGGGCAAGAGGTGATGGCAGCCTAAACTCAGGTGGGGACAGAATATTGGGAGAAGTGGTCCCATTTGAAATGTATTTTGGAAGTGAAGCAATGCAAGTGCTTGGTTGTAGGGGGCACCGGGGAAAGAAGTGAATTCAGTACCTCTCTTAGTGGCTCCCTGGGCGGCCAGGAGGGGCGGCGGCCAGGAGAGAAGCAGGTGTCAAAGGGACACATCAGGAAGTCCACTTTGGCCACTGAGAATCCAGGGCATCCGGGACATCCAAGTGGAGATGTCAGGGCGGTGGCTTCGTCATGTGAGTTATGGAAGAGGTTGGTGTGCATTTGGGAGTCAGTGTCCCAAGGATGGTGTTTAAAGCAGTGCGAGTGGAGGAGAGTGAGAGAACCGAGAAGCCCAGAAACAAACTGAGGTCACGTGAGCATTGAGCGTCCAGGGGCATTTAGGGAGGGGGAGAAGGGGGCCAGTGGGGGAGGCCAGGAAGGAGCCGTGGGTGAAGTGGGAGGAAGGCCAGGGATTGGAGCTCCTGGGTCCAGGAGGACAAAGGGCCTTGGCAGGAAGAAGTTTCGGGCTCCGGCAGGCAGATTAAGTGTTAGACCAGTCTGGGAGCGGGGGCGAAAGCCTGCCCGGAGTGGCTGAGCTGAGGAGGTGGGGGTGATGATCAGCCATGTTGGGGGCTGAGAAATGGGGCCATTGCAGGAGGGAGACAGGATAAGGGGGTGTTAAGGAGGCTTTTTTTTTTTTTGAGAAAGGAGGTGCTAGAGTAGGTTTGTTTGCTAATGCAAACACTAACAGGGATCAAGGATGTTGGCAGAGGATGGTCCTCAGGCTGGTGGGCGTGGCTCCATTCGGCTCCTAGATGCAGGACACGGAGGCAAGGCATGGGGGGGGCTGGGGCATTTCTTGGAGAGAGAGGAGGGTATTGGCAGCCAGTGGCTTCTTTTTCTTTTGTTTTCTTTCTTTTTTTTTTTTTAATGTTCACTTTTTGGGAAAGAGACAGTGGGGGAGTGGGGGAGGGGCAAGGGAAAGGAGACACAGAATCCAAAGCAGGCTCCAGGCTCTGAGCTGTCAGCACAGAGCCCAACGCGGGCTTGAACTCACGAACCACGAGATCATGACCTGAGCCGGAGTCAGAAGCTTAGCCGACTGAGCCACCCAGGCGCCCCAGTGGCTTCTTTTTCCAATCAGACACAGCATTGGTCTTGGCAGAGAGCCAGGGGTGAGTGGGACGGATGAGGTTTGAGGAGAAAGAAACTCCTGAGGGTTTGTCTGGGTTAAGCGCCTCTTGGAGATTTGTGTTCAGGAATGGGGAGCAAGGTGGGAGGCAAGTTGTCGGGTGTGTTTCCGCGGTGCTCACCTCTGTGCAGCCACATCCGAGAGCTGGGAATAGCCGGAGTGGGGATGTTCCCAACCACGGAGGGAAAAGGGAGCATTTGCAGAGGTGACCTATGCAGCGGGGGCTGGATAAGGCTGCTAGCCATGACCGTGAACAAGGGAGCAAGGGTGTGGGGAACAAGATGGCCCCAAGAGGTTTAAATAGCTGAGGCAGGGAGGCCCAGGTCAGAGAGTCAAGTGTGGGACCTTAGAGGTGGCCAGTTACTAGCAATCGCCCGGCAAGAGTGTGTCTGTAGGCTGTAATGGGGGTGGGGGACAAGCTCCCAGCATGGAAATGACCTCTGAGGCCAGCGAGTTGGGGGGTTCACCTTGGGACCCGTGAGATCACTAAGTGGTGACCTGGGAGGAGGGTGGAGAGAGGGTCACTGAGTCCAGGGCAGATGGGAGACCCCAGGGACAGTCATCCTTTCGTGGGTTCCACATGCATGTTGAGGCCCTACTGTGTGCCACACACTTCCAGGTGCTGGGACACTTGGCGGTGCTGACGTGCCGGTTTGGGGAGCCGGGTGGCAACCGTGATGAGTAAGCCACGTCCAGAGGGGCCTGGTGTGGAAGAGAAATGAAGGCAGGGCAGGGGGAGCTGAGGCCGCCTTGTTGGATGGGATGGTCAGGGAGGGCTCGTGTTCGAGGAATGGTCTGGAGGAGGTTGGGGCCCCAGTTGAGGGAACAGCCAGCACAGACCCCTTCAGGGGCGGGGTGAGGCGATCACAGTTTGCACTTTTCCATCTGCTGGTGAAATGGTTTGACCATTCATGTAGCCACGCAAGACCTGGGGGAGGGTCGTGACACCTCAGGGGTGTCCCCAGCCGTGACCTAACAAAGGGATGTGTTTGGGGTCCCCCGTGGGCTCTCTCTGGCCCCGGTGCCCATGTGGGACACACACACACACACACACACCCCGACCTTCAGGAGATTGACCCCAGCCTTGGGGTGGCCGAACTGCCGGATGAGTTCTTCGAGGAGGACAACATGCTGAGCATGGGCAAGAAGATGATGCAGGAGGCCATGAGCGCCTTCCCCGGCATTGATGAGGCCATGAGCTACGCAGAGGTCATGAGGTCAGGCCCCGCCAGCAGGGGCGGCCAGGGCGGGGGGAGGGGGGGGCGCGGGTCCGGGGCAGCTGGGGGCAGACAGGCCTGACCTTCCTCTCCCCGCAGGCTGGTAAAGGGCATGAACTTCTCGGTGGTGGTGTTCGACACGGCGCCCACAGGCCACACGCTGAGGCTGCTCAACTTCCCCACCATCGTGGAGCGGGGCCTAGGCCGCCTCATGCAGATCAAGAACCAGATCAGTCCCTTCATCTCACAGGCAGGCAGGGCCCCAGGGCATCCGGGCACCCCCTGGGTCAGAGTGCACACCGGGTCGTGACCGAGGCCTTTCCCACCCACGGCCTCTCAGTCCACATTTACCAGTGGAGGGGGTGGGTCTCCACCACAGTGGGGGGGGGGGGGCCTGTCCCCTACTCCATAAGACCCGTGTCTTGTCCCACCCAGTGAGTGCTCCAGACAGTGCTCGAAAACCCATCGTCCAGGGCCAGGCGGGCCAGGCTCAAATGCTCTACACGCTGATGTGACAGAGCTGTGTGACCTCAAGCAAGTCAGTTCACTTCTCTGGGCCTCACCTTCCTTGTCTGTCCAATGGAGGCCATTCAAGCACCCTGTGGGCTGCTATTAGCATGACAGCATGATAGCCCCGGGGCCTCCACACTTAGGCACGCTGCCGCCACCCCTCCCGACGCGTGCCTCAGTACACCAGCTGTTGGAGGGAAGGTCTACACACGGGGGATACTGAGGCTCCGGAAGGTCAAGCCCCCTGGCCATGGTCCCCCAGAAATGGCAGAGCTGGCTTGACCCCCGTGGTCTGCTCCAGGCCCTTTAATGCTGAGAGGCGTCAGATGTCATCCCCCAGGTATTTTCTGATGTGCCCCAGGTAAGCCGTGGGCCTCCGCGTCTTCCCCACAGATGTGCAACATGCTGGGCCTGGGGGACATGAACGCGGACCAGCTGGCCTCCAAGCTGGAGGAGACGCTGCCCGTCATCCGCTCCGTCAGCGAGCAGTTCAAGGACCCTGTGAGTCACGGTCCAGGCTGGTGGTGGGAGGCTTTGGGGTGGGGACAGGGCACGAACTCAGCCCTCACCGTCCCCTCTCACGCCCTGCAGGAACAGACAACCTTCATCTGCGTGTGCATTGCTGAGTTCCTGTCCCTGTACGAGACGGAGCGGCTGATTCAGGAGCTGGCCAAGTGCAAGATCGACACCCACAACATCATCGTCAACCAGCTCGTCTTCCCTGACCCCGAGAAGCCCTGCAAGATGTGTGAGGCCCGCCATAAGATCCAGGCCAAGTACCTGGACCAGGTGTGCATACCCGACCGCCTGCCCAGCCCTCACACCTCCCACCCTGGAGGCTGGGGCCTGGCCCGGCCCAGCCAGGGCACCGCTGACCTTTTACTGCATTCCCTGACCTGCTCCACCCCATCTTCTGATCCTCTGCCCCAGCCTCCTGCTCTGCACCCTAATTCTGGCCCTCAAGGACTATAGCTGGCCTGACCTGGGTACCTCTGACCACACTGATCTCGCTCCCACCTGTCACCCTGTGAAGCCCCAGCCCCACCTTCTCCCCCAATCCTGGGAGGTCCCCGATCCGACCCTTCCCATTAACCCACATCCAGTCCCTGCCCTATGGCCCTCTGACCACTGCCATCTGCCCTGGCCACAGATGGAGGACCTATATGAAGACTTCCACATTGTGAAGCTGCCGCTGCTGCCCCACGAGGTGCGGGGGGCCGACAAGGTCAACACCTTCTCTGCCCTCCTCTTGGAGCCCTACAAGCCCCCCAGCGCCCAGTAGCACTGCTGCCAGCCCCAGTCGCTGCCATTTCACACCCACCCTCCATACACACACACACACACACCCCACAGGGCAGAGTTTGCACAAAGTCCCCCATAGTACAGGGGGAGTCACTTGGGGGGTGGGAGGCGGGGAGGAGGTGTGTTCCCCCTGGTGGGGCTGGGGGAGCCGTAGCTGCCCCCCCACCTCTCCCTGCCTCTCGCCCCTCAATAAAACGGTCTTAAACCACTGTGGATGTTGATGTCGAGGGGTTGGGGGCCAACACCTTTGTGTACAGTTGCACAGGTTGTACGCTGCACAAAAATGGCACATCTTTTTTTTTTTTTTTTTTTTAAATTTTTTTTTTTTAATGTTTTATTTATTTCT